GTCAATAGAATTTAAATTATTCTGTATCTATGTTCTTTACAAAAAATTCAAAACACATCCTCCCTCCGTTCTTTTATTTTTGCGGCATTGCCATTTTTTGGATCAAACTTTGAAAACTTTAACCATTTACCGTTAATTTATAAAAGATAATATAGTTATGAGCGATGTGGTTAGATTCGTCTCATTGTATATTTTATTAATATCATGTTTTTATAATTTTTACGTATATGAAAATAAAAATATAGACGTTTTAAAACGCGTCTTGGAGACCGCGCACAGTCAAATGGGGCAAAAAAATAGGGACAGAGGGAGTACGTTGTAGAAAGTACTCGTATGCTTGGTACGAGTACTTTTTTTTTTTATTAAACCACGAGTATTTTCTACTCATATTATAATTATTTTTTCTCAAAATTAATTTCAAGTTGTACATATCTATTTATTAACTATTACTAAAACAAAACGTTGTTAACGTCATCACTGTCCAAATGTTACTCTCATAATAAAAAAATTCCCGCCTAAATGCAAAAATGATGGCATCTTTCTTTTTCTTTCTTTTTTATTTATTTACTAGATGGAAATAAATTGTAAATATGATATTTTTTCCGTTATATAAAATCTTTTAATGTGAAATGATAAAATTTTAATAATTTAAATCCTAAATCATTATTCATTGTTTTACCATATCTTTTATTTCGATAGAATCACCAACCTCGTCCACAACCAACCTACTACGATAAAAATGTTATCCAAAACTGAAATTGATATAAATTAAATCTTTACATTTTATATAAAATAAATCAATATATTTACCAATAAATGAAAAATTGTTACGATATAAAATCAAATCTATGCATTGGAATTTTTTCATCATCTCCAAAAATAACCAAAGTCATCCATATATTAAGTATACAACATCTAATTGTATGCCATTACATAAACAAATAATCGTTAAGTATCCTAAATAAATACAATGTAACTAATAATTACAAATATAAATTTAAACATAAGATTATAAAAATTACCTGGACATTGATGACCTAAAACTAACACAAAATTCGCTTGATGGGGTTTTGTATTGATACGAAATTTTATTTGTATCGTATGATGTGTTAGATCTGCATGTAAAAAAACATTTAGTAAATAAAACATAAACATTATAATCGTTGAGTATCCCAAATTAATACAATGCAAGTAATAATTAGAAATACTAATTTAAACATAGGATTTTAAAATTTAAGCTAAAAATTACTCGGCCATTGATGACCAAAAATTAACACAAAATTAGTAACACAAAATTCGCTTGATGGGGGTTTTTTATTGATACGAAATTTTGTTTGTGTCGTATGATGTGTCAATTTATAATGTTAAGTATCACAAATTTTAATTTAATTATAATTAACGAACAATTTGTATTTCTTGTCATAAATACTATCAAAATTTATCTTATAATGATAGGTATCAAACTTTATTATAAGCGTTTATCATTTAAATATTTCTTAGTATATTCTTTTTGGATTTCTTTTTTCCTATATTTTTACTTTATTTTTTTCATAAAAATAACTTAATTCATGGATTATAATTTACGTGGCATTAAAATTTTAGATATATCAAATCTAATTAGTTACTTTTATCTAAATGGCGACATAATATTTTAATTCAAAATAAAATACAAATCTTTCTTCTTATTGGTCGAAATAAGTATATATCTTACGTGGCGCTCCGAATGCTCTCCAAAAATACCTACTTTATTTATATAATATTATATTTATTTATTTTTGTGGAGCTATCATATTTAATAGTTTTAAAATTTGAATATTAGAAACTTCTACATTACAACTATAACCTATTAATTTATCCTACAAAAATGAAATAATTTTAAGTAGCACACTAATAAATAAACTCGATTGAAATATGTATTACGCGACGTTGAACATGTATTATATCATAATTTTGATGAAAATAAAATTTAAAAAGTACAAATATTTTTGTACAAGGTGCATAATTCTTATATATATTTATCCACCAGATGAAGCTCGTGCGATGCACGATTTGTTTTAATTTTTTCAAATAAAATATTTTAGTAATATATATTTATCTAATAAACTTTGTGATATTCGCTTGCTTATTATTGAATTTTTTTATTATAAAATGAATAATTAACTTTGTTTCTCATATTTAGATAAAATTAGTAATATAAAAAGATAATATTTTATTTCACAAAGTTTCATATGTGGCTGGTCACACCATGTGGTCGGGATAACTTGGTCACGAGTTACTTGGTTGGTTAAGGGTTACTTAATCGATCAGAGGTTACTCGGACGGTCAGGGGTTACTTGGTTTGGGTGTGTCTCAGTGGGCCACACGATATGGCCAGCCACATAAAAAACGGGCTGATTTTATTTTTTAATTTTTAATCTAAAATAAATTGCAATTCTTTTTATTATTGGCTAAAATATAACATTTTCCTATGTGACACTTTAAAATTAATCTTACGTGGGATAATCCTATTGTAGCGTTTTAAAATTATTAATCCTACATGGCGATTTTTTATTATAATTGTACGCAGCGCTTTAAAAAAAAAACTAATCTTATGTGGCAAAATCCTATTGTAGCGTTTAAAAAATATTTATCCTAAGTGGCGCTCTAATATTTTTTTAAAAATTAAAATCCTACGTGGCGCTCTAAAAACTCGGGAAAAAACTCCACTTTATATATATATACTAGTTTTGTGCCCCGGGCGATGCCCAGGTTGTTTATTGAATTTTAGGATAAACCTTTTGGCTTGAATGTTAAATACTGTTGTATAATCACTTTTGATAATGCAGGATATTTAGACATGCGATATTATACTTAAATTATTTTTATGAAACTGAAAGTATATTTACCAATTAAAACTTATTTTTACTAATTCTCTATTATTTTAAATATATTATAAATGGAACTTATTTTAAATAACTTTTTAAAACGAATTTTATGATGGAAATAAAACCGATTTATTAGATTTTTATGAAAAGTTATGATTAATTTTGTATATATGAAATATTAGAAGTATATCGATAATAAAACTCTATACAATAATTTTATCTTAAAAAAATCTATCCAAAATTCGCTTACTTAGCATCATATGTGTCACAATAATACCTGGTTTTTGCCTATGTGGCGTGATACTTGGCGAAAAATTGGAATGCCAAGTGTCGATGCCTCGCGACCTGGCTGCTTGACCGGCTTTATTTATTAGTGATATGATATGATATTAGATTTTTTTAAAAAATGTACAAATTATAAAAATAGATTTTATATAAATCGTGCATTGCACGGGTTCTAACCTAACAAGTGAATAAGTGATATAACACGACAATTTTTATTAATTTGTTAAAAATAGTTCAAATATTATCTCTGTTGATTTCTTCTTTGTTACTATTCAAAAAAAATAAAAAATTCATCTTTGTCATTTTTTGAAGTATGTACTTATTTTTGTTGAAGTATTCTACTGATAATACATACTTGTATTTTTTTTTTTTTTTACAAGACATACTTGTATTTTAAATAAGATAATTTATTTTAAACTTTGCCACTAAATCAAACTTAGCTTGATAAATAAGACAATTAGTTGTGAACTTTTTTTACCTTGAAAACGGAGAAGTCCCCTGCTAAAAATTGCTAAAAGAAAAAATCTATATAATATAGGAAGTATAATATAGGTTTCTTTTTTTTTTCTTTTTTTTTTTTTGAGGGAAAGTATAATATAGGTAATATGTAGTATAATCGACCCAAATTAAAATTACAAGAATATAACTTTGTATTTGTATATTAAGTGCAATAGTTGACTTTTCAAATTAAATTTTTTTAAATTTTGGACTTAATTTTTAATATAAATTCATTAAATTGATTAATATATCAAATGAAATCTTTTTAAAAATGATTCTAGCTAATTTCAAGTAGAATTTTGTAACACTAACTCCATTTCTCATTATTTGCACCAAAGTAACATTTTATGTCTCACAGAAACACCCTTTTATTGCAAATAATAGGAAATGGTGGTAGTATATTATTACACCCATTTTTGAAGGTTATTAACTAAACTAAAATGCACACAAGTTAATGCAATTAAAGAGCGATTGTTGATGTGGTGAATAGACTCGATAAAATTAACCCATACACAATTGCCTAATCAAACCTTGAAATTACTTGACTCAATGCTTATATGATACAGAATATCCCCACTTGAACCAAACTAACTTGATAATCAATGTTTTTTTGATAATGATTATTTTTTTTGTAAATAAATATCTTAATAGAATCGAGAATGGTCTAAACCTTAAATTTACTCGAACAGTTCCTACCGAAAATGACTTGTTCTAATTAACTTGATTTGCAACTGTTGTAGTGAATGAGTGTAAGATTTAGATGGATAAAGTAAGAGAAAGTGGGTGTCTTTGTGGGTTTTTTTTTTGTTTTTTTTTTGTTTTTTTTTTTTTTTTAAAAAAAAAAAAAGGTAAGAGAAAGTGGTGAAAAAAGCGTAAATACATCTTACGAGGACATGACCAAAATTTTTTAAAAATGGAACAGAGCTGTATATTATTTGGAATTTGTTATATACATTCGAGTGTACCGTACATCCAACCAATTAACTCAATGTTAGTTTTTGCTCTTCATTTGATGTTTAAATGAAAAACAATTATAAGTGTGTGGTGCATTCGGATGTATATAACAATCTCTCTATATTATTAGAGCATCTCTGATGGTTGTAAACTTGTAATAAGAGGCTTGCTTGCAATTTTAGAAATCTCAAGTCAACTATTAGCTTGATGATTATGGGAAACTAGCTTGGAAAACAAGAAAGAATAGTAGTCAATCATTTTATTAGCAAGTGATCATTATCCATTTCGATAGCAATCAAGTAGCTATCTATTGAGATACAAAATTACAAACTAGCTAATAATGAAATCATAGCTTCAAAATATATGTGAAATGATAAACCTAATTTAACAATCAATCAACTTGTCATTAAAGATTTTCTAACATAATTAATAATAATCGTCACTTATACATCTCGTACACTATCTAAAGCCAAACCTACACTTACTTCCTTCGTTTATTTTAGTGCATCACATTCTAACTCGATCGTTATAATAGAAGTGCATCACTTTCTAAATCGGTCGTTTTTTAATTTACTCCATTCAGTTCCCCTTCCTAAAAACTCAATGCAAAGCAAACTGATACACTTAAAAAAGAACAATCATTTTCTCCGTGGCCAGTTGACACACACCAAAACATTAACCGGGTAATCCCTAACTGACCGACTAACCCCTGACCGATCGAGTAACCCCGAGATAAACCCTTGAATAAAAACCCCAACCACATGGTATAACCAACCACCTATAAAACTTTGTGAAAAAAGAAACGAATAAAGTAATTCGAAATAAAAGGAGCACTTTTATAGACTATCCTAAGCAAACAAATAATAATAACACAATAATCATCAATCAAAACTCACTCTCAAATCTCAATAATGCATTGGTTGTGACACTATAATATAGACAGAATAAAGCAAAACTTAAAATGAAAGACACAAAATGATGGGGACAACCCCCCACTTTTTCCCCAGTTATTAGGCCATACCACTACATCAGACTATATATCAGTCCACTTTTATTCACAAGGTACGCGTAAAACTTGGTCTATCCATCTTCTCTATGTTCCCGCCGCCAGCTTTCCTTGTTTTTGTATTCTTCTCTCTTTCTTCTCTGTTTCCAGCTTGGATATTACAGTATTACAAATTATACTGAATTTGTTCAACTGAAATTCTTTCTATTCTACCTTTTGTATTTTAAATTACAAGCAAACTCAACATCTTCTTAAGCAAGGAAGATAATAGAAAAAGTGAAGTAAAGTAAAGGGTAGTATTGTAGAGTTAGTTTTGAACAATCAAAGAAAAATGGTGAAGAACAACAAGAAGCAACTACAACATCAACAATCTTACATTGCTGTTTCTTCTGAAATCATAAATTCTCTCTCATCTTCTTCTCTACAATCTCTTCTTGTATCCCATCATCAACCTCAGATTAAAAGGTGTTCAAATAAGCCAAAGAAATGGGTCAAAAATCCAATGTTTTTGCTAATTTTCACTATCTTTTTGTTGGGTTTTCTGGGTATGGTTACGCTTTACTTCCTGAATCTCCCGAATGCGTGTAACCAGCATCAGCTGCGAGACGAAGAAGTCGTAGAGTTTAAAAGTAAAATGACAAGTAAATTCGATTCGAGTGAAGATTTCTGGAATCAGACGAATGGGTTCGGACTCGGGTATCGGCCGTGTTTGGAGTTCAGCCAAGAGTATAGACAGACGAGTGAGGAGATAGTGAAGGATAGGACTAATTATTTGATGGTGGTTGTTAGTGGTGGGATGAATCAGCAGAGGAATCAGATTGTTGATGCTGTTGTTATTGCTAGAATTCTTGGAGCTGCTCTTGTTGTACCTGTTTTTCAAGTGAATGTTATATGGGGAGATGAAAGGTTTGTTCTGTGCTTGTTGCTCGTATCGTATTGTGTCGTGTTTTCTGGGGTTTATTGTTTAGGGTTGCAGTTGATTTTATTAATTGATTGTGTGTTTATGTGTTTGTTTGTTTGATTGTTCAGTGAGTTTTCTGATATTTTCGATTTGGAGCACTTCAAGAGGGTGCTTGCTGATGATGTAAAAATAGTTTCGTCTCTCCCATCAACGCTGTTGAGGATTAAACCAGTTGAAGAGAGTCAAACTCCCTTTCATGCCACTCCTCATTGGATCCGCCATCACTACCTTGGAAAGGTAACATACTAATATAGTAATATTACTAATTGATACTCGGCATATTTCAATTGGAATTCTTTTAGTATATGTTATTGTATATGAATTTAAGCAATACTTAGTACGCAGCTTTGACATGTAACATGATTTTTTACCATACATACTTGAATGTGTAACCAATGATATTGAAGATGTCTCTTGTATACTTATACTTAGGACTTGATAAAAATCATGTTGAATGAAATTATTTGTGCTATTTGGATAAGGTTGAAAATTTTGCATTGTAAAGAATTTTAATGCAGGCTGAGACACTTTGCTACTGTTCTATTATCAGCAATAAGATCAAATTAGAACAGTAAGAAATTGACAGAAAATTTGATTAGTCATTTTAGTTCTTCCAAAGCTAAACTAAGCTGCAGCAATATCTGGAGCCTTTAGTTGTGTGTGAGCTAAAATTGTTGTCTTAATGATTTTAGTAGCCGGTAGTAGGCTAGTAGCTACAACAAATTTTCTGCTGACATACATCTAAGTTTTTGTAATAGCTAATCTGCATCAGATGAGTCACATGAATCATTATTTCCATGAAAGTCTCGTTAATAACAGTAGGTGTTGTTCTGTTTGTTTCCCTTGCAGCTGAAAAAGTATAATGTTTTGTTGTTGCGTGGTCTGGACTCCAGGCTCTCTAAAGATCTCCCATCTGATCTTCAGAAGCTCCGTTGTAAGGTATCGTATATGTCTTACCATGATTATCTGTTACTGTATTATTTTTTTGAATGTGAATTGTTTCTTACCAATTTTCTCTCGCTTGCAAAGGTTGCATTTCAGGCACTCAAATTTGCTCCTCACATTCTACAATTTGGTAACAAAATTGCTGAGAGGATGAGCAGTGAAGGCCCTTATGTTGCTCTCCATCTGCGAATGGAAAAAGATGTGTGGATAAGAACTGGATGTTCACCTGGCTTGAGCCCAGAGTACGATGACATGATAAACAATGAGAGAAAGCGGCGCCCTAAGCTTCTTACTGGCAAGTCCAACATGACTTCCCATGACAGAAAGCTTGCAGGACTTTGCCCCTTGAATGCCTTTGAGGTTGCTCGGTAAGGAATTATTTGACATTACTAAGTACTTTAATCCGTTTTTGGCATGGATGTTTTGTCTCTTACGCTTAATGCTATTATTATGCTTTAGGTTGCTCAAAGCTCTTGGTGCTCCAAAAAGTGCAAGAATATACTGGGCTGGAGGACAACCACTTGGTGGCAAAGATGCCTTGCTTCCTCTCATTACAGAATTCCCTTACTTTTACAACAAAGAAGATCTTGCACTGCCTGGTGAACTAGAACCGTTTGCAAACAGAGCCTCGTTCATGGCTGCCATCGACTATATAGTCTGTGAGAAGAGTGATGTATTCATGGCATCTCATGGTGGAAACATGGGACATGCTCTCCAGGTACCTTCATCAACAAATTTCAGTTTATTTTTTTATAATATGGAATTGACATGAACCATTCGGAATTAATTGTCACATGATAGATGTCTCCTTGGCATTTGTCTATACCACTCCATTTCACTGTAGATGACCTTGATGTCTATGGAAATCTTAATTCTATACATAATTTATCTATTTTCACCGTCGGAAATGTAACGTAGTCTTAAAGAGAAGACTCGCCTAACTGCTGTATACCTTTACTTTCATCTTAAGAATTGCACTAGTTTCTTTTTGGGCATCCCATAATGTTACAATTAAACATAATCACAAGGTTTAGAAGATTAGAAACTGTTGCTAAACCGAAATGCACTATATACAGCAATCAGTGGCTTGGATCAGTTTCTGACAATTCAGATTATTTTTTTATGCAGGGACAGAGGGCTTATGCAGGGCACAAGAAGCATATAACTCCCAATAAGAGACACATGCTGCCCTACTTCATGAATTCTTCTCTGCCTGAAACTGAGTTCAACAAAATCGTGAAGGAACTCCACCACGACTCTTTAGGGCAGCCAGATTTAAGGATAGACAAGCCAGGAAGAGATGTTACCAAGTATCCTATCCCAGAGTGCATGTGCAATACTTCTTCAAACAGTCATTCCTCTGCTTGAAAACTCACACTTAATTCGTTTCCTCATCACGTATACTTGTCAAGTCTTAGGAATGGGACGTGGAATAATCACTCGAAGAGAGCTAAGCTAAGACAAATATTCGGCAAGTATAACCGGATGATATTCATACTAACAGAACCTCTCTTACACCTTAAAAGCGCAATCTTTGGTGCACTTCTGTGCACGGTTATTCCTTTATTCTTTCCATTCTTTAATAGATTTTGTTTAGCTTATACACCCAGTAACTTTGTAATTTTTTTTTCTTTTTTTGCTTTATCACATCCTATACTTGTATATATGTACAGATAGCAACACAATCAAGATTTATACGTTTATTTATTTCCTTTTCGATGTAGAACATGCGATATTGTAATGCAAGAATCAATATCAATATTATTAAATAAAAGTTATATGTAGTAGTAGATGATTACTGCAGCATAATTCTACAAGTATTATTCAGCTCAAACTTTACAGCACAAAAAATTAATGGAATTCAATAATAGATACAGTAGTTAGGTTCTTATCTTTATTATTGTCCACAATTTACAATTGTTTAGAAGTATGTAGTCTAAGAGAAAGTCAATAATGAAATAATGATGAATGTCTATTATATAGAAGTAGGTGAGAACAGAACTAGAACATGGCATGTTCAATTTTCATTTCAAGTTGATTTGTATACCGGTAGATGGGTCACTCATTTAACAAAAATTAATAACATCACTGGTTTGGGTCGAACCCAAATAAACCAATTGGTTTAAATTAATTAAAAAGACTTCTTTTACTCTGTAATACATATAACCAAATCCAATGATAAAAAACTAATTCTAATTCATTAAAGCAATGAGAGTGATATGTAAGAAATTTATGGACCTAGTATATGGACTATACAGTTATGATTGTATTTATACGCTATCATATAGTTTAGCCCAAAAATAAAGTGATCCATTTAAGTAATTATTATTATTGGGCTTATTACGTCTTGTATAGAGTATGGGTTTAGTTTTATGCATAGAGGCCATTAGACCCTTTCTAATGCATGATGGGTGGATTAGGAAGGGAGTCTTAATAAATAGACATCTTGGATTATGGTCCCTAGTAGTACATACAATAAGACTCTTAGTTATATCCCATCAATAGAGTGAAAATCCTAGAGTGTGTATTTACTAGAAGACTCATAAATCATAATCAAGAAGGAGTTCGATAAATTGTCATGGAATCAGGTACGCTTCCGCAATTAAAATTTCCTGATTAATTTGATATGAAGATTTAAGTTTATTGTAGGAATTAATCCTAACATGATAAGAATTAAAGACATCTAAAATACTAGGAGTCCGAGACTATGTATCCTCACTAATACGCGCCAATAAGACATCTTAATTAAGACTCCCGCTAAACAATAGGTAGTTATGAGAGCAGAATAATACAAAAACACTCGTTCAAAACTTCAAATCCCCAAATTTGGCTGGCCAAGCTTGAAATCACTTGGGCAAGCTAGCATCATAACTCTTCATCTCCTACTCCGTATTATCCATTGGCTCAACAAGCGCCAATAAGTGTCCAATCATTCTTATTAAACCCCCCCCCCCCCCAAAAAAAAAAAAAAAAAAAAAACACCACCAAAACAAAACAATCTGTGAAGCACGCATAGTGAATTAATGAGACCCGAGTAAAGGTTATCCAAAAAAAAATTAAACAAAGGATCTTGCTAACAAATGCCTCCAGGGGGTTAGATAACCATTTAAAATAGTGTCTAAAATGGTATTAATTCATGAATGCATGTCAAAATCAAACGTCAATCGGTGTAATTAATGTTCATTTTGATTCAATAATTCTATTTTTAGTTGGCTTATCTACCGCCCCCAGGGCGTTAATTAACTTTTGCCTTAAAAAAACCTAAAGTACATAGTACAGTGTTATAAATTATAGTAACTCTCTATGAAATTGAGACCAAAACATACATTTAAAATGGCGAAATTCAAACCATTGGCAAATTAGAGGACTCTAGAACCCAACCAATATACACTCTTTGTCCCTTAAAGTTTAATCTATTTTTCTTTTAAGTTTTCTTCGTATTCCCATAATATTACTCGGCAAAGAAGCCGGGACGGAGAGAGTACACTATACACCATATTGTGCTCCGTAGGAAGTTGTTTAACTCACTCCTCCCTCTTTGGCCTCTAAACAGGAGAACAACCGCAAAATCCTCTGTTGAGAGATGATGATGATGTTGGGTTTGTCAGGTGCACCATTTTCTTATCCCCTGAAATTTTACAAACCCATTAAAGCCATAACCTCAAATTCTTCAGAATTTTCTCTCTCCTCCCCTGTTACTCCTCGTTATCATCTTAACAGTCCATTTGTTCCCGAGGTATGTCTCACAATTCTCCACCTTTTTTCTTTCTGATGAACTCATGCAATTTTTATGTAAGGGTGCCTATTTATCTAGTTTGCCCAGAAAATGCAATAATTTGTTTGGGTTTTGGATGAATTAAACAAATTTTGGTACTATATGTGAAGTTTTTGTACTAATGATGAAGCTTTGAGTAAGGAAATATTTTTTTATTATTGCAGTTTGTTATTACATAATATGGTGAAGAAATTAAACTTTGCTGAATGTATGAGTTTAGGTGCTTTCAATAGAAAGAATGGATTTACTCATGTAACCAAGTACCCCAAATTGGTGTTTATTGAAGAATAGCATTTTTCAGTGGTTTTATTTGCAGTCTTGAAATCAGGAATTAAGTGTAATGTCGGATTTAACTTGGCATTTCTATGTCAGATGGATGTCGAGTTTATAACGGTTATTACTTGAGAATGTATGTCCGCTTATAACTGTGATAATTTGGAAGAGCTACTAAAAAAATAGGGATGTTTTGGGAAGTTTGGTATACAGACATATAATATCTCCACTCTTTATAAAAAGGTAGGAATCAGAATGGCTAAACTTGGGACTTTGCCTTGCTTGGACTTTGTTTCAATACAATGTTCAATTGTATGGCCCTAGGCAAGATTTAGCTACATTTTTAGGGGGTGTTTAGTTCGCAAAGTGTTATGGGTTTGGAATTGGGAATCAAACCAAGATGGTATGGGTTTGAAACTTGGTTTTTAAAACTATGTGTTTGGCTTTGTTCGAGAATGAAAATTTGTCTTTTGTTTGACTCCTGAAAGTATGGTATAAGCCATACTCACCTTCTCTCTTGGGTTTTGAAACTCTATACCCGGTGGGTTTGAGATATAGGTTTTATCGATTCTAAACCATACCTCATTCCCAAATTATGTGAACCGAACACCCCTTAGGTGATTTGTCTCTTTTTTTACCTTAACACTCTAGCCTTTGGATCTAAATGTTGGCATTTGTTCTAGTTTTGTTTTTTGAGTTTGTTAATTTTATATTTTTGTTACTAGTTATCATTTCCCTAATTTTAAGAATTATCCATGACAAAGGCGTGGTAACTTTAAATGTGAAGCTTTATCAAAGTGTGTTAATAAAACCATGACTAAGTTTAATAAACCTCATTAAAACCTTATTAAAACCTTTCCATGACATACACCTACTATTATTAACACATACACCTACTATTATTAACGACAAAGGTTTTAATAAAACCATGACAAAGTTTTGCATCAGGGCTTAGTTTGCTGACAAAGGTTTATTAAAACCATGGCAAAGGTGTGGTAATTTTTATTAAAGCTTTTAAAATTATCCATGACAAAGGTTTTAATAAAACTAGCTGACCATTATATGTGAAGCATAAAGTGGGTTGTCATCCTAAGCCCTGTGGTTTAACTGTTTCTATTTCCTGCTTTAGTGTTTATTAACTGAATAATATTTGTATTTGTATCTCAATTCTTGCTGTAATTTAAGTTATAAAAAGTTCATGAATGCTCATTATTAAATAGATGAGCTGAGCTTGAACAAGTTTAAGAGCTTGTTCAATAATGAGCTTGAACACAAACAAAGTTACACTCGTTTAATTAAGTTTGTGAAACTAATTAATCTGTGGTCGTGAACAAGTTCATTTATAATCATTATAAAACCCTTTGTTTATGTAAAAGTTCACTTTTTGCCTTGATTATAACTAATCATTGAACATTATTCTATGATTTTAACTTAAATTATTTGTCTATATATTGAGATTTTCAAATGTTGAATGCACAAATCTTTATTTTACATCTGAAAACCTGTTTATGAGAAAAGCTCGTGTATTAATGGAAACATGTTTATGAATTCAGCATGATTAATAAACAAGTAGTTCACAAACAATAGAACCTTACCAAACAAGCCGAGCTTGAACAGATTAGAGCTCGGTTAAGCTTGGGCATGTGCTTGAGCTTGCTAAATGAACATGTCCATGGACAAGGCAGAAGCTGTGATTCGAGCCCTGTCTGTCTCGATGGATACTCGGCTCAGCTCAGTTACAACCCCCTCCTTTTTTTTTTCCTTATGTGACTAGTAAGAATGACGTTTTATCCTCTTTTGATGTCAATAATCCAGGTTGATTATGCAGTGGCTTCATTACACTCAGAGTTCAGGGACATCGACAATTTGGTAGCACACAATACTTCCCGTGTTCTAAAAGCCTTTCAGAATGCTCGAGTTGGATCTCATGTGAGTGGATATGGAAACTCTATATACTGTATAGGATAGTGTTTAAAGGCTTCTTTGTTAGATGGAGGTAATTGAGCTTGTTAGGTATGTATTGTCTAGAGTCCTCTAGACAGCATGTTGCCAAAGTAAGTCTACCTTATTGGGCATGCACTTGGATCTTTGCATCTGTCTGATAGCACCTTAAATGTTATCAGTCAATATTATTGTACAGATCTCACTATCTTGTCAAAAAGACAAAGGTGAAGTATGAACGAATTCGACTATTGTTCCAAATTCCAGATTAGTTCAGAGGTAGACATTTAAAATTATTCATTTTAACTACTGGATAAACTTTTATGTCTACAGCTACAAGGCCACCAAGCAAAAATATTTCATTTTTTTTTTCTTTCTTGGGTAACTGAGGCAGTAATGACATCTGATATTGTCAGGAGGAATTTATGTTATATTGCTATGAAGTTATTGATCTGTGTTGATTTTTTCCGTTAGTCCAACTATGTGCCTCCTTTGTTGCCCTGCCATTTAATTTTGCAGTGTTAAATATGCAGTTTTCTTGTTCTTATAAAATAATACGTATTAATGATCTCAAGATTCCTCAACAGAGATCTCTGATCCACTTTGTGTAGTTTTTTGCTGGATGCACTGGTTATGGCCATGATGAAGCTGGAGGACGTGAGGGTTTAGACCAAGCATTTGCCGATATATTTGGTGCTGAGTCTGCTATTGTCCGTTCACATGTAATTTGTTCCCCCATTTTCTCTTGCATTCTTTGCTTTTTGTTCCCATTGCTGTGTCTCATTGTTCATTCTTCAGTTTTTTTCAGGCACCCATGCTATTACTTGTGCCTTGTTTGCTATGTTGAGGCCTGGTGACGAGGTTAGTTATTTTTCTGGTTTACTTCTACTTGGACATTGTTACCTAACTGCTCTACTTGCACTAGATTTTTGAGATCTTTACTTTGTTTTCTCTAAGGTTTTAGCTATTTCTTTTCTAGAAGTGTGTCTTGTAGATTTATTAGTTTTCCAGCTTCTGGCAGTTGCTGGTGCTCCATACGACACTTTGGAGGAAGTCATTGGAAAGCGTGACTGTGATGGGATTGGATCTCTAAAAGATTTTGGAATCAAATATCGAGAACTTGCAGTAATCTGTCCTTGCATTTCTTTGCTCTTTACTTTATTTTAGTTTTATCATATTTTCTCCTCCCAAAAATGGGAATTTAAAGCATTCAGGTGACAAGCTGCAGAACACTTATGGCTTAGATGCTATTTCAGCTTGCTGAGGATGGTGGACTTGACTGGGATGAATTGACAAGTGCTGTCACTCCTCAAACAAGGTGTGCACTCATACAAAGATCATGCGGTTATTCATGGCGTTGCAGTTTAAGTGTCAATGAGATAGGGAGAGCAATAAAAATGATAAAGGTATTTCCGAGGCACTAATTATTAAACTACTTCCTCATTCTCAGCTAGTTTAATTAAAAGTTGTACTACAAGTAATTGTAAAATGATAAAGGATCGTAGTCATCGTACTGTAAAATTTTCAATATAATGTTATTTATACTCCAGTAATTGTAACCTTGATGCTCTAAAGTTGGCCTAATTTTAAAATAAAGACGACTTTTTTAAGTACCATGTCTTTAATTGTTTGTTTATGAAGCTTTTCCTAAATCTTCTCTCTCTAAATTCTCTGAACATTTCTTCTGTTAACTGATCTTAGATGAGTATTTTATTATCTTATATCTTGTGTTTGTAGTTTGTACTTATTAAATCTCTCTACAAAGTTCTTTATTTAAAAACCCCATCTGCTAAAGTTTATAAAACATGCAGGTGCAGAATCCAAACTGTTTGGTCATGGTGGATAATTGCTATGGTGAATTTGTGAACGCAATTGAACCCCCAATGGTGGTATGTTTCTAACTCTATTTGTAATATTAGTGCACTGGAGAAGGAACAAGAACTAATTAGTTATTGACAGGGTGCAGATTTAATTGCTGGAAGTTTGATAAAAAATCCAGGAGGGACAATTGCACCATGTGGAGGTTATGTTGCTGGGAAAGAAAAATGGGTGAAAGCAGCAGCAGCTCGCCTGTCTGCTCCAGGACTTGGAATTGATTGTGGCTCAACTCCTGGTGATATCATGCGGACTTTCTACCAGGGATTGTACCTTGCACCTCAGATGGTTGGGGAAGCCATCAAGGTATCAGATGCTAGATTGAAAAAATAAAAAACCCTTGACCCCACTTATGGGATTAAGGCTGTGATTGATTAGAAGTCTGATAATTATCTTCTTAGTTATTTCAGTAACTACATCCCTGGAACAATTCTTTAATTATATTTTTTTGAACAGGGTTCATTATTAATTGCTGAGGTTATGTCTTTGAAAGGGTTCAAAGTTCAGCCACGTCCCCGAGTTCCAAGGAATGACACAGTGCAGGTCGATTAAAACTTAGCTTCGTAATATTATTAGTTGGATAATGGATGCTGTTTGTACATTTTGTAATAAATTATCTTTACTGTGATGTTTAAATCATGTTATGCTGGTAAATTTTCTTCATTATAATGTTGTTTGTAGCAATATATATGTGGCATTTCTTTGACACGATGATGAATCTAATTGGAACATCTGTTAGACTATAACAATATTGGCGTATATAAATTGACGTTACTGTGATGTGTCACCTGTGTTATGCTGGAAAAAATTTCTTCTTTATTATGTTGTAGTCTGGATCATTATTGGCATCATTATGACAGTTGCCTACTAGGCTCTGCTGCTCCAGTTCTAGACTTTTGCCTTAGTGTCCTAGTGAGATGGTATTTTTTGTTGCCTACATATTTAGCTAGCTAGTTCAACTATTTGCGACTTGGTTGAAGCCAATTGAGTGTCTTTTCTGTGAAGGTATTTCTGTGGGTAGTTATCTTTTACGAAGAGGGGATCTCAGGGTAGCCTTTCTCTGTGTACATCTCTTAAATTTTGCACCATAGAGGCTAGAGCAGCTACAAAACTTTTATTTTTCTGAGATAATAGTTGATATTATTTCTTTTTTTTTGAAGCAAAAGGATGAAATCTGATTATATTAGTCATATTAATTCAGGCTGTCGAGCTTGGGAATCGAGAACGCCTTATTGCTTTTTGCGAGGCAGTGCAGAGAAGCTCTCCTGTTAGTTCGTTTACTAAACCAGTGCCTGGAGCAACTGCTGGATATGCGTCAGAGGTGTGGTTAACTATACGCTTTTATTACGACATTGTGTGTGATGCGTAATTTGTTTGGATAAAAAGCCATTTCATGATGGCTGTCTCGAAATTCCTGGGAAGTGTTTTATTACTTATTATTAAATGCAAGTGCTAGATTTGATTGAATTGTTTTATATATTAAAAGCCTGATTTTCTAGTTCTTAGTGAATCAGTGAATGCTCACTCACACACACACACACACACACACTCACACACACAGAATTTCTAGTTCTTAGAGAGCGAGCACGTTGGGTTGTTGTATGGGGTTTCATAACAAGATGATCAAATTTTGATGGTTTGGTGCAACTTTTATATACTGCATATCTCATAGCAGGTTAATACAGAATATGTATTGAACATTTCTATGCTTTCCTTCCTCAATTCAGACTAACATGAGCTCAAGCTTGGTCTTTAATTAAGATGATTGTTTTGAATTTTAGGTCTGCTTGTTACATTCATTAGAATAAGTTTATATTGCTTTATATGTTTCAACGTGGCCTAGTGGGTTGCTAAGAATCAATCTAAGAGGAGGGGCACTTAAGGTAGTAGGCTTGTAGCATAATCATACGGTTTTTATTAAGGAATAAGATAGCTATTCAATCAGGGTAAAAACTTTATATGTAGAGAATATTAGAGAGAGGAAAGCATTTGGAATATTAAGGAGAGTTTTCTGTTGATTGTTTTACACTTTTGGAGAGAAAAGGCCTCTCCATTGCTTGAAAGAGTTGAAATTATCTTCTATTATTGTTGTACTTTCTAGATATTGGTAGTTTAAGCTTCATCTTCTTCGATTAATCTCCATATGCCATTCCTTATTTCTGTCAGCTACTAAGTTGATTCTTAACATCGTTACGGTCCTGCATTTTTTCACCTGGCAAAAAAAAAGTTGAGACGATGCTAGGCAGGAGGTTTAGCTATTACGATTTACGAGTAGTCTTTCAGCATCTCATAGGGTGGGCATCTGTCATTTTTTTGACAATGTAGTTATCGTGGCTTACTTATGTGTTGTATTACTTCTTGGCGTTCTTGCTACCACAATCTATAGGACTAGAGGAACTAGATAAAGTTTTACTTTTACTTTTGGAAATATCCTCTTACTTGTTTCACCTTCACAAATTTTTGTTAAATTTTTTTTCCTGAAAAGGACCTTTTGTTCTGAGCTTCTGACTAGTTTATCTACTGGTAATGTTGTGTGCATCTACACCTCCAAGAAGTGCAGTTATTTCCTGACCCTGAAATCTGCCATATAGGGTATTATTGTAGTTAATGTCTAGGAAATACATCAAATTATACCATTTTAAAATGTGACTGTCCCTCTCTGAGCTCTGACTCTCCAAGGCTTCCTCGTCTCCCGTAACATGAAAATGAGGGCGAGAGTCAAATCAATTATTATCTCAAGTTATTGAATCATGCATGTTCTTTCCTACAAGATCAAGGACCAACTGGGTGCTCATTTGATTTTGCGTTTGAACTCTCTTATTCTCATCTGATTAACCGGAAATGCTTGCTAATTGCCACTAAATATAAAAAAAAAATATAAAAAAATAAAATAAAATGGAATAGCTTGCTTCAGAAATGAATTGATTATAAGGTCTATGGTAATTCAGGTGATCTTTGCTGATGGAACCTTCATTGATGGTAGTACCAGTGAGCTGTCATGTGATGGACCACTGAGGGAGCCGTTTGCTGTATTCTGTCAGGTCTTTACTTATAATCCAACTTTTGGAGCTATCTCACATTGCTTGTTTTTCTTATTGTAACAGTGAACAAAATTATGGAGTTCTCTATTTATATGTGGTGTTTGAAGTCATGTTAAATTGAATTGGGATGCCTGAATATGATGCAGGGTGGTACTCACTGGACTCAGTGGGGATTGGTTTTGGGAGAGGTTCTTAAATCCATGAGTTAGAGCAGAGAAGCCAGTAGCATTTTTCTTCCAGGAGTATTATTCTTTTAGCCAAGGTAAAGAGAATCCTTGTGGCACTTTAAATCTGTAGCGTTAGCTAAAGAATTTATATTGAATAGTATTGACACCTGTGTATCATTGGACAGTTTAATCAACATTTAAGTACTTGGATCCACAACTGATACAAGTGCAATAGTACAAGGAAGAACTACTCTTGCAGTGAGAATGGGAAAAAGCGACAACCTAATTTTGTTAATTGTTTGAAGCAAATGATGTGTGATTTGTGAAAGGCTCTTACAGCTTCCCTTGCCTTGGTTAAGGAAGAAAAGCTGATGCTGCCTCAAGAGTCAAGACTGACTGCTTCTATCTTAAGTTAGTATACTTATCAGTTATTAATTTTCATATGTTTTTCTCATTCAGGAAGAAAGAGTTCTTTTCTTATCTTTATATCATCCGTTTAATTAGGAGGCAAATGCATCTCCTAGACCTACCATACGGTCCATACCTTGTTACCCTGGACACTCTAGTAACTTGTTTGAGTTCTCGAGCATGATTTCTGTCTGCCCACAACAAACCTTTATAAAATATCCCCGGATTTTGAAATGAAATTAAAAAATGTGTGTTCAAATTCATATGTTGTGATTATGGGGATTATTGAAGTAGTCAAGGGACGGCTTGCATGCTAACCATCATTGTGTTCATGATGCAAAACGCTCTGCTCCACTTCATATATATGTGCTTGAATTCAAATATGGAAGTTTATCATTGTTTGGTTCTCTTTTGCTGCAGGAAACCTTAAATCAAGTCTTTGCTTTGTTCAGGGGCCAAAGAAATGATGCAGTCATGCTTATATGTCTGAACAACTTTTGGTGTAAACAGTTGATCTTTAACGAATGATTTCTTTTGACTTGATTCTCATTAAACACTGATCAGAATTTTTTGAGGCTCTGAACATTATTACTGTCTAGAATTATCATGAAAAAACAGATTTCTGTACAAATTTTGTTAGATTTTATAAAAGGGATTTGAGGAGAACAATAGAAGATAACAGAAAATGATTGTTTATTGTATTGAATATTAGAAAAAGAAAGGGGGAGAAAAGAAGAGAAGAAAAAAGAAAGAAATATTTTATTTTCTAATGCTTGCTTGATGAAAGAAAAGGAAGGGAAGGGAAGGGAAAGAAAGTGAAATGGCCTGCTGAAGAAGTTACTACAATGAGATAGAAGGGCTTTTGCATCTAAAAAATTAACATTAATAATTAGATTGTCCAAAAATTAGGACAATATAAATTTTCAACACTAATCTACTCCCTTTTGTTTCATAATAAATACTTCAATTTGACTTTTGTACTACTCACATGTATTACTTTAGTCGACGTATATGTTTTATACATAAAATGAAACATTATCATGTGTTTACTTGTTCAAATAGTTTCAATGTAGAAATGTTTGGGCAAATTCTAAGAAAAGGATTTGCTTAATTAGGTTTAGGGGATTTAATAATCATACAAAGGCATGGAGAAAATAGCAAAAAGTGTACTAAAAATTAGAGAAATTAATAAAAAGAATAGAGTTAATGACAAATTGACTAATATGGATTTAAACTAATATGTTAGGACGATGGATTGAGAATGACTATAAAAAATGCATAGTATTAATAAATATTCAAATTAATCAGATTGAAAGATAAACAATACAAAGGTACTTTTATATTGAATGTTGAATAAATTACAATGGATAATGATGACGATTGATGTTTATACCAAGTTAAAAGACTTTTATTGTTTTGGCAAAGTTGACAAGGTTGAATTGATGTCCTTAATTCATAGGAAACTTTGACTTAGTTGATTGACATCTTTCTTCTTGATTTGCGAGCAAGGGATGTGATGCCTAAATATTCATCAATCGTCATTGTAGGATTAGCCTTGAAATGACGTTGGGAAACCCAAACGACTTAAATATAGGCCAATATTGTCCACATTCAATCCAAAGTGTGTGTCATTCTGATAAGATTTTGCCAATCAAATGATTTGTTTCCTTGCATAACATGATTATTCTTCCTTGATTGATATGGGTTAATTATTGAGGACAAATTTGACTGTGGAAGATTCTACCCATAACTATTATTAATCTTTTCCTTGACATTTTGCCTTTTTGTCTTGACTTGATTTCTTTGTTTAGTGTGATTATTGTTTACCGAGTAATTTTGATATAATGATTATCTTCAAATTTCTCTTTCCTTTGCTTGATTGGTGACCTCTTGCCACGTGCCTTCGATAGAAATCTTCACTCAACAATACACAATAGAGATCTTGATCGACGTCGTGAAAAAACTTAATATGATAGATTTTATGCGTTAATTTAGAATTGAAATCCTTTAATTTGGAACTCTAAAAATAATTTCCTTTCTTTTTTCTTGACCACTTCTTCTTGTAATACTCTCATTAATGATCTATGCACAACATATAATATTTTAATGTCATAATATTGATTTAATTTAATAAATAACAATCATATAAACCACAAAATTATTAATAATAATTAAACATAAAAATGCCTACTCTAACCCTTATATTTTTTTCATATTTATTATCCACGACCTTTTAGGAATTGAAGGAGGCCTTGATGAATGAAATCAATGAAGTCATCTACTTCATTCAAGGATCTAGATTGTATCTTTGATAGTATATGCACATGAAACTACAAAGGTTGATACCAACTAGTAAATTTATTAAAGAAAATATATTTTACGTGGAAAAATGTATAAAATATGTGCAAAAAAGGTAATCACAATATATATTTTTTTGTCCTACATTTAATTTTTATTAAGTTTGTATCTAAGAATTTTTCTATAAAGTTGGATTGTAAAATTTTCTAAAAGTAACAAATAAAACACATAAATATCATTCCTAAACATTTTGCGAATAAATTAAAAGAAATAAAAAGTAGAAAGTAGAAAAGAAATTTATTCAACAAATTCAAAAGCTTAACCCATCAATGTGTCACATAGTTTCATAGTTGCATACCCGTTGCCAATAAATGTCAGCTAGCTTAACTGGTAAACTCTTTAGGGTTGATACCCTACATTTTCTTATATAAAATTGACTTTGCACCATTGTACTTTGCACCTTTTCATAAAAGAGAAGAAAAAGATGTAAGAAACACCTCATCCTTTAAATTTTCAAACACAAATTTGTATTGATGGTGACTACCAATTGAAATTTTTATCCTAATAAGAAATAAGGAGAACCCAAATGAGGGGGCTAGGTTTAACAATGCTTTCTTCCTAATAATAATTTATAGACATTTGTCTTACAAAAGTTTAGGGTTTCAAAGTCATCATATATATAATACTCAATTCCAATGAAATCAATGTGAACCAACTTCATGATTAATTGTGATTTCTTACCTAATTTGTCTACTTAAATTGAAATCAGTATGTATGAATGTATGATCATGCTATAAAGTGAATTAAATTAATATTATTGATATTGATTATTTTTATTTATTTTTATTTTTATTTTTATTTTTTTTACCTTAAAAGTCTATTTAAAAAGAAATCAACATGTGTAAAATGTATGATGATAAATAATAGATTAATGTTAATCATATCTTCATGATCAACCAAATCTTTATAATTAATTGCAATTTCTCACATAAATTATTATCTACTCAAAAAATAAATTATAAATAAGTATGTAAGAATTTGCGATATTAATGATAGGGGAGATGGTGGTGGACATTATTTCGTGCCAAATATATCTATATATAATGAAATCAGTATGTCTATAAGTGTGATGATATTTAGTGAACTGAATTACTGACAATAATTTCTTACTTAAACGTTTATTTCAAAAGAAATCAATGCTTGTAGATGCATGATAATAAATTATAATATAATGTGAATCAAATCTTCATGATCAACCAAATCTTCATGATCAATTGCAATTTCGTTCTCTATTTGAAACCTGTATCATGAAGCTAGTGTAAATAAATATGTAAATGTGCAATTACAATGACAAGGTGGTGGCAGTGGTGGAGATGATTTCTTACCAAATTTGTCTACTTAAGATTAGGTGAAATCAGTATGTGTTGTGATGCTATAATGACCTAATTCATCGATTATTATTGATTTTGATTTCTTACTTAAATAATGGATATTTCAAATAATATGAAACCTACGTGTGTAAACGTTGATATTATAAATTATAATTAAGTTAATTTGAACGAAACCTTAATGATATATTGCGATTTCTCACATAAATTGTCTACTTAAAAAATGAATCATTAGTAGAGGTGAGGGGAAAAAAAATAGAGTTCGACCCAGTAGAATAAAAATTGAAAGCTGTTAGGAACTGCAATTTCAATTTTGGGTAATAGAATTAAGAACTTGATATAACAGCTTCCAATTCAGGTTCTCAAATTTTTGGAATTGGAACTTGTATGGTACTCTATAAGTATAGATTCCAATGCTAATACCCAAAATCAAATCCAAAACTTGATAAAAGATAACACTTAAGCCCAAGTCATACACCGATTTTCCAAGCCCATAATTTTAAAGTGTAAAATAAAAATACAATTTAAAAATATACATGTATTAAAATTGCTAGACAACTATTGTTGGTTTGTCATGCTTGCAACTTGCAAGTTAAAAGAGTTGTTACTTTATGAACATCCTTTTCTTTATTAATTAAGTTGATTAAAAGCTAGACAAGGTACTCAAAATTGGAACTTGAACCTATAGATTTCGGATTTGATTTTTATATTCCTAGGAGTTTGTTCAACATGCTTCAATTTCAGTGTAACAACCCCAAATCTCCCTCTACGGAAATACTAGCATAATACGTATAATTATATCGTAGAGATAGACTAAGACGTATTACCGCCGCGTGATTACGCAAGGCTACTCAAACTACTAATTAAAAACCACAACTTCGCAGCAGAAACTCAAACTCTTTCTTTATTAATACTTATAAAATAGTAACCATTGTTATGATGAGTACTCAAAAATAGAAATAGAACCAACATTCCTAAAAACTAGGTGAAGAATATCTCGAGACTCCCAAATGCTCATTTATTGACTCCACCTGAAAACAATCAACACTTCTTACCATTAAGGTAAACAGGGCGAACCAAAACCATAACAAATACGAATATGCAACATATGCCAAGTACATTCAAGTGCAAGATAAGTAAACTCAATTTATTATCAAACATGCTTTAAAACCAATCATGAAATTTTAATATTTATTTTAATAACTCAAACCGGCCTCATAATTCAAAACCAATTCTCAAGATTCTCAAAATAATTCCAATAACTTAATAATAATTTGAATAATAATTCAAGTGATAAAAATCAATTCCTCTTTTCAAAAACTCAATTCCTCTCCTAAGTGTAAACACCCCAAGCTAGTATCTTTATAATGAAAGGCTATCCTTGAGGAAAGACTAGGTCATACAAAATCCATAGTCTTAAATGAATCCGCATAGTGGGATTAATATAAACATGCTTGTAAAGCTTTAATAATAATAATTCAATAGTTCAATAATTCCTCTTTAAATCAGTAATTCAATCCTTTATAATAAATCAACTCAAAACTCCTTTTTATTTAATTCAACAAGCTTTCAAAATCAAACCTTTTAAATATGATAAATAATTCCATCATTCAAAACATGATATTAAAATCAATCCTTCAAATTATTTATCAAAACATATATTAAAATCAATTTTGCCAAACATACTTTATTTCATAATTCAAATTAATTTAATTTTATCATCATAAAAATCATACAAACACTAGTAGAAAATAGTTAATTGGAAGCGGTTCAAAACCATAATTGGAAGCGGTTTTTGAACCGCTTGCCATTAGGGGGCTTCTCATTGTCTCTTTAAATGGGAAGCGGTTCAAAGCGCTTCCAATTTTAATGGAATGGGCAGCGGTTATATGCTGAACCGCTGCCTATTATGAACTTAAAAAATAAAAAAAAAATTAACAGATTTTTTTTTTGAGCAATTAACAGAAATTAACACACAAAATATAAAACATATGTATAAACAAATTATATTTCCATTAATAATTAATTGTAATATTATTACATTATAATTCACCACCAAAAAAAATTACAACCAAAATCACCACCACCCTATTCCGCCACCACCGCAGTCAAAGCCACCAGCCAACGCCAGCAATTAACACATTTAACAAAAGCCAGCAGCCTACCACCGCAACTGACGCCAACAGCCCACCACCGCAACCGACGCCACCTCGCATCAAAAAAAAAATCAAAATTAAATTGAAATACCTGGACAACAAATTAATAAAAAAAACATGAACATTTTTATCTAGAAAAACCCAGAAAAACATGAACAAATTAATAAAAAAAACATGAACAAATTAAATTAAATTGAAATTGCTCGATTTTTCCCAGAACCCAGAAAACCCCAAAACCCCCAGCCTGCATCCACGGCTTTCCCACCTCCACCCCTGTCAACCACTACGCCACCCCCAGCCTGCATCCACGCCCTTTCTCACCTCCACCTCTGTCCACCACTACGCCACCCCCACCCATAACCATACCCTAAACCCACCAACTCCACCCACCCTAACCCACAATCCTAACCCATCCTAACCATCGAATACCCAAACCAGCCCACCACCACAACCCTAAAACCACTAACAACCACCAAAATTCACCACCAGAAAACCAAAAATTAAAATAAATATATTAAAAAAAACTAAATTGAAAACAATAGAAAAAAAAATCGAGATCTACAACACTAACCTGCTCGGATTTTGCTCGTTTTTTCCTCGGATTTTTTCCGGTGATAAGAGGAGAGAGAAAACAAAGGGAGGCTTAAGAAAGGAGAAGGAAAGAAGAACGAGAACGAAGGAGATGGAGAGAGGAGAGGAGTGAGAAATGACAGAAGAAGGGGCGTGACGCGTGAGAAATAAGGGGATAGAGGAGAGAGAAGAAGAAGGGGTGTAAGAAAAGGGGGGAGAGGAGAGAGAAGAAGAAGGGGCGTGAGAAATTAGGGGAGAGAGGAGAGAGAAGAAATAAGGGAGCTGAGAGAGATCCATGTTTTTTTTTGGGGAATGGGGAGCGGTTTACCCCCAAACCGCTTCTAATTACAATATTTAGAAGCGGTTCAAACCAAACCGCTTCCAATTCTCCTCTTGGTTTTTTTCCCGAGTTTTTGTATGAAATTGGAAGCGGATTCCAATAACCGCTTCCAATTAGTGGCTTCCCATTACCTATTTTCTACTAGTGAAAACATGCTATTTAAACCAATCACTTTCAAAGGTATCTAGCCACCTAAACATACCTTGATCCTCGCTTAGCAAACACGTAAAGAACCTCAAGAACTCTTGTCAAAAACACCCTACAATTAAATATAACCTTAATCAATATATATAAGGTCATCAAATAATCACAACAATTAAAATAAAACCCCCCAATTATATGTACATGAACCTTATAAAAATTCTTTTTCATAAACTTGAATAATAAACTGATTTTACTTAATTAAAAACTCTCATAATAATTTTTATGAAACCCCCATGATAATATTAATAATAATAAAATTAATTAGGAGATAGAAGAGAAGAAGAAATAGAAAATTGAAGAAGAGGAGGAAGGAGATGCTCGGCAAGGGCAGCAGCACGCCAGCAGGTGGCTGCTGCTGGTGGTCGGCGTCGGGGCTGGATGGAGAAGGTGGAAGCCATCGGTGGAGGTGGTGGCTGACGGTGAAGGTGGTGGTGGTTGACGTAAGAAAGAAAGAAAAAGAGAGAAGAGAATTAGAGGGAATTTAGAGAGAAAGAAGATAGCTTTGGTGTGAGTTTTTAGCTATGATTTAAGGGGTATTTATAGGCTAGTTCATGCAAGAATTAAGGTAAGAAAATGTAGGAAAAATTATGGCAAATTTGGTTTAAGGAATTACCTGGAAAAGTGAGCTAAAGAATTATGGAAAGTTTAGTTTTATGGTGATTAAGAAATATGGTAAGTATGTGGTCATGAAATATAATATGGTAAATGGCTTTGCTTGGGGAATAATCAAGAATGGTTTAAGGTAAATAAATAAGATGATCAAATATTTGGGAGATGGAAAATAAGAATTAAGGAAATAATAGAATTTAAGGATGATAATTAAAATACAAGAATTACCAAAATAAATTTCTCAAAAATCACTCAAGGTGGCCGAAATTTTTGAGCTTTCCTAAGCTCTTATTTTCGGCCCTCTTGATTAGATTTTAGGAATTATTTTGCTAGATTTTAAGGATTAAAAATGATTGTGTAAATAATATATTTTGTATAAAATAATTAATTAGAAAAATACCAATTATTCACTAATTAATTTAACTAAAAAAATAATATTTTCTTCACTAAGAAAGTCCATAAATTCCTTGCTAATTAATTAGGAACTTCGGACCTTTTAAATAAATAAGAAAATATAATTTTTCTTAATTAAAATATCTGAAATATATATAATCTGGTTTTTAAATAAAATAAATGGATAATAAATCTTATCCAAATCCAAAAATAATAATTAAGTTTTAAAATGTTTTTGGCGCCAAAATTCAAATATCATTTTGTCTCCAAAATTTAAATAGTAAAATAAATTACTAAAATACCCCCTTTTTTTAAGAAAATACTAATTAATTAATTAATTAAAAAATACGTCTTAAAAATTACGGGATATTACACCCAGTTCCTATTTTGAGGAACCTATTGCATGCATGCAACGTATTTAAGTTATGATTCCTTTAATTTAATCTTTTCTTTTTTATTGCCTTTTTAACCAAAAATAAATAATTAAATAAATAAATAAAACAATTAAAAAAAACTAACTAAATTTAATTAAATTAAGTATTAATGTTGTGTAATTCATTTCCCCTATCTTAATTTTTGTACTAATATTATTAATTCTCACCCCTTGATGATTTCATCTTCTAGCTAACTATTCATTTTCCTAATAAAAACATATGCCTATCACAAAGATAATTTTTTGATAAAAATTACATTATACGCCTATCACGAAGATAAGATTTTATATGAGAATGATAAAAAGTACGGCTTTTTCACCATATACCCCTGAGTTTTAACATTATTCACCATATATCATTGAAAATTTTCAAATTCACCATATACCATTCAATTTCAAGAAAATGTCACAATATGCCCTTAATGACTCACGCCGTTAACTTCGTTAGTCATTAGGTTACTTATTGGTTCTGATTAATATTATTTGATTAATTACTTAAATTATTAATTAAAAAACGTTTAAAAAATTATTTAAAAAAAAAAAACCACTACCAACCTAGCCACCGATGCCCCCAGCCCAGCCCTGACAGCGACCCCCGGATGACCGGTGCGCATCATCCTTCCCCCACCAGCTACAACCCCCGCCCCCAACCCTCTCCTTTTCCCCGATTTCCACAACCCCACCACCAATTTACCACCCAGCCACCCTCTCACTTACCAGCAACCCCTTCCCCACCCTGGCGACCGGTCATACCGACCCTCCATCGCCAGCCGACCCACCCCTACCTTTAATCATTACCTCGACCCTCTCCCTTCCCCCGTCGTGCCACCAGCTAAACCTTAACCCACAAAATCTCACTCCCTAGCTCCAACGAAACAACCCGATTTTTTCTACTTCTCTCTCCTCCGACGATCCGGTCGATTCTTCTCGCAGGTGGGTTAAAGGGTTTCAGGGGCTATAGGTAGATTTTCGGGAGTGGTGGTTTGTTTTAGAGGTTGTGGGTGGTTTTGAAGTGTTGTGGCGGGGGTTGTGGATGGATTTTCGAGAGTGGTGGTGGTTTTCAAGGGGCGTGGCTAGGGTGAGGGGTGGCGCCGGCACAGGGGAAGTGGAGTCCGGCGGCAGGGTGGAAGGCAAGCTGGGGCGGGGAGGGTGGCTGACTGGCTGGGCTTGGGTGGTGGGAATTTTTCGTTTTTTTTATAGTTTTTTTTAATTAATAATATTTTTTTAATTAATTAATTAATTAAAATAAGAACTATTCAAATGCTGCCACATGGCACAGTTAACATTAATAACTAACAGAACTAAAAGAAGTTGGCATTTTGTGACATTTTCGTGAAGCTGAATGGTATATGGTGAATTTGAAAATTTTCGATGGTATATGATGAATAAAGTTAAAACTCAGGGATATATGGTGAAAAAACCGTAAAAAGTAAGTAATGATTATGTGATATTTTTAAAAATAGACACAATATTTTGATACACCAAAAAAGAAGGTTTGTAATTAATAAGGATCAATAGGGTAATGGAATTAGTAATACATATACTCTAGAAGGGGGGGGGGGGGGGGTGGGTTAAATAGAGTATGACAAATTTTCGAGAATATAAATCTCAAGGTCTTGAGATCAGTTTCAAGGCGGAATAAACTGATTCACTTTTCAGAGTCAACTTTGAGATTCAATTCAAAAACGTAAAATTAAACTTTGTAAATTAGGCAGATTATAGATTGAAATTAAAACAAAAATATAAACAAGTAAAAGTAAAGCAAATAAAAACGAGACAAGAGACAACGATATTTTTACGAAGTTTGGCAAATATGCCTACGTGTCTTCCTAGGGTTGTCCAACCCGTAGGATTTTAACTTTTTTATTTCTTCCTTTAGAGTCCTGAAGCACCTATAAGATCAACCTATCTTCTCTCCGTAGCCACCCATCCAGCTACACCTTAACAACTCAATTCCCAGAAATAAAAAGCTATCTCACTTTTACTATACTTGAGTATTATAGTACTACTTATAGTATATCACTCTTTTGATAACAAAATTTAAGCACTCTTGATATACTAATCTTTTCTATCAATCTAACTACAATATGAAGTATTTGATAAACTAGAGAGAAAGTATTTAACAACTCTTGCTATAGCAAATGAAACTTGATAATTCTTGATACTTCTTGTGAAGTGCTGCACGCTATTTATAGAGTTGAGATGTTGGATTTTTAATTTTGAAGCAACCGTTGAGTCTTCAACGTTATTTGAATAATTTAGCTTGCGCTATTTTTGGGGCTTCAAAATCAACGTTAATCTTCAACAAACCTTCCAGCCTACTTCCAGGGGATATCTGTAAACAAACTTTGAAACTCATGCTAATCGGTTAGTCAAAAGATAAATACATGATTTCAAAATAAAATCTTATCCCTTGATTAATGTATTCTGTCAAAACTGAATATTGTTAGAGTATAAAAGATAACTATTAATAAAATATCTAACTACCTAAAAGATAAATGTAAAATTCAAAATTTAGGTTAGATAAATTTAACTTAGGTTTAATATTCCAACAACCCAAAGTAAAGATAAAGATGAACCGTGAACTGTGGTAATATCAATCCTACATATATTGGGCTTAATAAAATCAAACACATTATAGCGGCCAATAATAAAATATAATAACCTGTTGGGTTTGACTTCCATCATAAATTAGAAAGTTAAGTAAAATATTAAAGCCCATCAAGGAGGAGTCTTCATTACCTTTAGAAAAAAAAAACACCTCAAATTTGTCAATTTGATTATTTTTCCCCATTAATTCGTCTTCAAAGAGCCCAAAGCCTTCAATTTCACAAATTTATTTGTTAATTAATGATTTTCCAATGACAACACTTTCCCCTGTATTCTTCACCACCTCAACCTGTTTTTGCCATAGACCAACAATTATTTTTCTTCCAAAATCATCTCAACCCATCAAATTTCACTACCTAAAAAGCACAAGAAATGGTAATTTTCATCAAAATTGCTTGACAATAGAGCTATGCGCTTATAGAAGAAAAGGGTTTTTGCCTGAAGCTATGAGAATTACTGAAAATGGGATTTTATGGGGAGATGAGAAGAAGTTGAGGTTGCAAAAAAGGGTTGTATTGGTTAAATTTAATCAATTTCCTGATAATTTTAATGGTGGGAGTGGTGGCGGAGGTGATAAGAGAGATGATGGTACAACTGCAAGAGTGTTGGTTAATCTTGCTTTAGCTGTGGGATTGACTTATCTTACTATGACTGGCCAACTTGGTTGGGTTCTTGATACTATTGTATCCCTTTGGGTAACTCTTATCTACCCTTCTTGTTTCAATCAATTATGTTTGTCTATTAATTTGGTTTTGGAGTTGTTTATTTGGATATTAATTTGTCTTGTGAGTGTTAGCTAGTTTGTGGTAGTTGGGTTATCGGGTTTATTCTTCGTGTTTGAGAGATTGATCAATATCGGATATTAACTTGGGATGACATGCTCATTTTGAGTATCAGTTGAATTTATCTTCATTTTGTTGTTGTTTGTTTTGAGTGTTGTTGCGAATTGCGAATTTGCTCCTTTGAAAATGATTGTCTGTTGAATATTTCTCTTACTTGTTTTTTGTAGCAGTACACGTTTTGTTGCCTTCATGTTACAAGTCTTACAACAATATAGTGGCTTCAATGAATGAATTTATTGCTGTTATTATTCATAAATTACTCTTTTGGAATAGAATTGTCTGAAAGATGGTTGATAGGTATAGGGTTAGAATTCCATATTTCACTTTTGCCATTCTTAAACATAATCATCGCATTTTTTTTTTTTTGTCATTAGAGAACTTTATCAAGCTTATAAGAGATTGTCCTATGTTGTTATTTTGGTGCTGCAGCTGTGTTGTGCATGCTTAGTATTATTGTATACAACATGTAATCATTTTTCTTATGTTTATTGTCGTCAGCTAATCTAAATTTAGGCATCTGACTTTGCTCAATTGATCAATATTGTATGAAAGCTGTCGCATTTAAAATATGTATTGCTAAAATGGAAACTTTTACCGATGCTGACTTTCCACATTGTGCTTATGCAGCTGCTGGCAATAATTATACCTGTAGTCGGCTTAGGAGCGTTCCTATGGTGGGCAGGAAGAGACATAATTCAAGACAGTGTGAGATATTATAAATTAACTTACTTTTCTTGCCTAATAATACTATATATAATGTTGGAGTGTGGTAGCTTTCTTTGGAAGATCAAGGAACTTAATTTCTAGTCTTCTTGCTTTTTTTATACTAGTACTAGTTAATAATATGAGCAGGGTTTCTTGACCAGTTTAGCTTAGTTATGGCAGTTCTGAATTGCGGTTCCTGTGAGTGAAAAGAAAATTCTCTTTTTCATACTAGTCATTTTACGTTTTGTTCTTCTTCATATTCTCTTCCCAAGTCCCACCTAGACTCCTAGTGAATTAAATCTTGACCACAATTTAAAGTATTTTGAGCTACCGTGACCATAATATCATGCAGTGACAACTGCGTACTGTCTGCATCACCTGCAAAAATGAATCCTAGACCAATAGTGTGATTGTGATTGCATTTTTTTTATTTATTTAAAATTCTGCTTTCAGCTCCTTCCATTCTCCTATAAATACCTTTTCAAAATCTAATACCGCCATGCTTATATCTCTTCATCTTTTGAATGATACCTTTCTTGATCAATAGCCTGTAAATGGTTAAAGTTATATGAAACTTTGGAAGACCTGCATTACTGAGTGAGCTTGCCTAGATGTGTTGAAAGTTCGGAACATATGAGCAATAATGAGCATACCTGAAGGTCAGATGTGTTTCTGTTGATTTAGCTGAATTTTAGGAACATTTTCTGAAATTTAGGTGATTTCTGCAAGTAAAGTTGTAAACAGATCTCCTAATCGTGTTAGCAATATAAATGTTGATGGAAATAAGCAGGAAGATCAGAGACACTTGCAAAGGCAGGAATTCTAATGAATGTTTGTCATTCCTTTTATAGATGATCTTATTATATTAGTCGTTGAATGGAATGGCTTTTAAGAAGTAATTTCATTATTAGTTTCCCATACCAAGCACAAATTATGTATACAGGTTAGCTTAGCACAATATCACATCCTTCTTGTCTTGGATCCCTATCATTATGTAGGAGGTGTTTACATTGCCTTTTCCTCCATTATATCAATATGCTAAATGTGCAATTCTTGGTCTTGAATAACAGCTACTGGTCTACTGCTATATGTTGTTATCTGTTGATTTCTTTGACTAACAGGTATCTGTATGGTGTATATATATGCAGTGTCCAAACTGTGGTAATGCTTTTCAGGTTTTTAAGTAAGAAACCGCTCAATCGCTTAACAAATATGATTATTACTACGTTTTTTTAAGATGGACTAATGGTGTCTAATGTCAGATCAACTCTAAATGATGAGCCTCAGTTATGCCCATATTGCGCTCAACCCTTCTCAGGTAAATAATATTAGTTTTATTTGTTGTAGATTGTTGAGTAGCTATCTGATTTCCAGTAGTTGTATTACAACTAGATCAAAATGCTTTGGAAGATTCTTTGGTATATCATCACCATGTCATATATATACTCTACGTAGACTGACTGAAAGCATAAAGCCTTTCACTGGCAGTGCTCAATTAGCCACAGCTGCGGCACCCAACATTTTTCATATGATTTCTCGTTACTCGTGCTAGCATTCTCACTTCTGATATCTCCAAGTGTTGTCCTTCCATTCAGATCAGAGTTTAGGCTGTAGTGAAAGGTTATTTCATTTTGAAAAAAGAAATAAAAAGTAACATAGTTTTCACGCTTTACAAGACTTCAAAAATATTTGTTTATTTTTGTGTATATTATCAAAAATACACAAAGTTTACAAACTTCATGCTAGTAAAAGTTAATGTTGCATTGATCTGAAACAACGTGAGTGTTATAATTGAGAGAATACATTTGATTATAATTTATAGATGCATTTAGTTTTATGGAGGAAGAGATTGTTTTGGGTGTAAGCTTACCTAAACTTATCTGAGCTATATGAACTTACCTATACTTAATAATCTGAATTCATTAGTACTATTGTAGTTGTGAATTGAATTAAATTGCTCTTATCAACCCTTATTATAACTTATTGGCAACACATGAAGGATTAATGTCTTATTTGATTTAGAACTACCAATCTCCAAGATATTTTTGCCTAGAAGTAGTCAGACCCTACTTGAACCTTGACCAGAATATACTCATTGTCTTTCTAAAATTCAACTGCTCACTAATTCTCAAAATATTCTGCCAGTACTGCCTCGGTTCTTTTTTATTTCTAAAGTGGTCAGAGTCGTCTTCTTTCTTTAAGCAGCTCTGAATTGAAATAGTGTTTTCTTATTTATTTCTATGCTTAAAACTTTCTCTCCGTTGTTCAAAAACCTTTTCTATGTGGTTGCAGTATTTTTTTTTTTTTTTTTTTTTACAATGTTCTGTAATCTATAAAATTTGCTGATACGAAATGAAGAAGTATATTAAAAAGACATCCAAGAAGAGGGATGGTATGCAGGTGTATAAAGAGGGCTGAAACCAAGAGTATCATGCCCTTAAGCTCTGAATTATGATTCCATCTATAAATCAATAAAAGCCAAGTGTGCCTCAGAATGTAATACCTGACTCCAAAACGATTCCCGTGTAACAAATTCTGCTTGAAATTTATCATTTCTTTATTCTCCAGTGCATCACCAATTGCAACAGAGTCATCTTCCACACTTACTGATCCACCTCCTTTTCTTCCTTCTTTCCATGCCACTAAAACTTTTCTGGCCTTACTAAATGTACCGATGATGACCAGTTTTCTTTGGAGGCTGTCTTGTCTCTCCTCTTCACAGGTTTATATATTGAATAAATTCTCAGCTTACATTCAATTAATCATGGCATTATGGCGGCTCTCAATAAAATTAGATCTCTTACTAGTATTCTGGAGATTGAGTGGTCTTTTAGCTTTTCTCTGGGCTACTCGTATATGCTTAGGGGTTGATGTGGGGGATGGGGTCTCCATAGTTGAGGAAACGCTCCCCGCCCCCCCCCCCCCCTCTCTTCCCTCGTCCCCTCTCCTGGGTTCATGAGAATGTTCTGAACTTCTTAAGACGCCTTTGTCTTCTAAAGCTTTATGCTTTCTCTATATTTTTTACAACAACAATAAAAAGTGAACTTATAACAATCAGCTCTCTTGTTAGGAGTTGCAATATGTGTTTTTGGTTTTCTAGCAAAGTAATAATAGTTTGTCTCTTTGAGGATTATAATGCATTGGTTGTAATTAGCTGAATGCTATATTCTTTTTTATGGAGGCTGCAGCCTGCAAGATTCACCTCACTATTTGCTAAGTTTTCTTCTGCAAGATTATAATGCATTGGTTTATGGAAAACTTTTCTGATTGGAAAAACTTCTCATTGCATGTATCAATGGATTTGTTGAAATATATCAGTGGAGGGGAATAAGTTTGTCAAAGAACCTATTAACTTTTCCTCCAAGCGTTCAACTCCATTTGGACAAATATTTGATGACTTCTCACCTTGGTCTAGAGAAGGTATGATCCTGATTTCAGATTCTTTTGCATGTATTTTTCCTTTCTATTTAGTTCCTCTATTCCAAATTAGATGAGACATTTTGACTTTTGACACTATTCTCAAAAACTACTTAGACTAAATTTTGTGATTTATATATAAGGAAAAGTCGATGACTACACGGAATAATCACTTTTGGTTCATGTAGCCGACCCCACTTAAGCGATTAAAGCTTTGATTGATTTGTTGATTGATTAATTGATTGATATATAAGGAAAAGCATAGTCATACGAGATTTTGTTGGAATCCTCTTATTATGTATTTTCAAAATATCAACTTTTTATAATTTTTACTTATTGATAATTGGAGATATTTATGGTTAAATTTATGCATTGGCAAACGTGATAAAAGAAACGTGTCAATGTGTCATTTTTTTGGAACGGAGGAAGTATATCTTTTACACTTTGTTTGTATTGAAGGAAATGGAGGGATGGAGTATCTTTCATTTGGATAGTAAATGAAGAAGGAAGGGAATTGGAGGGGAGAGAAATGGAGGGGTTGAATAGTAAAAATCGATCTCTTTGACATTTGGAAAGAAAACTCTTTCCCCTCCCTCCCCTTCTTTTCCTTCCCCTTTCTTTATCCAAACACTCTGGTAGTCATTTCCTTGAAAATTTAGGTGTGTTCTCATATTATATGATTGATAATTAAAACGTGTGTCTTGTCAAAAAAATTGGGCATTATACTATCTTAAAATAGATGTATTTTTCCGTAGCTTTACAATTTTCCTTCTTGAAGCTTTCTCAAAATGCTGTTTGGCTTTGTACTACTTTTAATTAGACATGCCTGCCCTGTGAGTATAAACTTCGCATACTTTCATCTAGAATCTTGATCTGATCTGGATATTTAGTTTTTATTTGTACTGATCATTAGCGTCCTTTGATTATTGTTCAGGCAAGTGCTGAGTTATGCCACTTTGTCTCTATTGCTTGGATACATCGAAGTTTCTTTCTTTCTTTCTTTTTTTTTTTTTTTTTTATATATATTTTTTTTCTTCTTATCATCTTTTTGAAAGTTTATAAAGTATTTGAGCTCTAGAAATTGCATGAAGGAAAAGAGATTGTATTCGTTGATAGTAGCTCAGTAAGTTTGACTAGTGGAGTGAACTATTGGCTTAAAACCGTGCTATCTTATTTTATAGAACATAAGTAGTTATTAGGAGGATGCTTATGGGCTTATATGGCTATGAATAACCAAGATCCTGAATCCTGAGAGAACTGTGACACCTTAATATTCTATATTATTCGAGGGGGAAGGAAGACAATAAAGTGAAGGATAAGTTGATGTGTGAACTGGGTATTTCTAGGTGTACACAGATTTTCTGATCCTTTTTCCTACATTATTTTTAATAAGCACCAGTGAAAACTGAAGAAATTTTGTTTGTTAAACCTGTCACTGCTAGAAGCCTTATTGTTTCCATTTCTCTGCAATGCTGGCAAAATTGAGACTGCAGATTTTTTCTCCTATTTCAATCCGTTTTTCCCTACAGTGGCATATCAAGTTGAAATACTAGATGTCAAGTGTTTCTATATTGATCACCTCTTGTGCAGACTTATTTTACATAGCTACCAAATTTTGTTATACAATATAAATGCCTAGATATGAACATCATATTTAGACTTGCTATCGTTGATAATAGACAGTTAGATAATTTGCTAGAATGCTTCAGTAATCTTATTCTCGTAGATGACAAGTAATTTTCTATTTGCAGAAAAGAGTGCTTCATCATCTGTAGTTGATGTTGAAGCCGAAGTGAAAGATGCAGAATGAAGCTCACATAATTTTGTTCCTGTTTAAAGGTAATGCTTTGTTACAACATCTCATCCTATGATAGACATGCCCAAATTACAGGCCATATTTATATTTAAGTTTCGAGATAATAGGTCATTTTTTCAATTTTGTTAACCTTAAACTTTTTTCAAAACTCAGTAATCAGGTTTGATCTTTGGTGTAGCAAATCCAGTTTTGAAGTTGCAAATATAGAAGGGATGTAGATATATATACAATCTTATTGTCAGGTTACGTGAATTAATTATGTAATTCATCATGTAGTGTAGCTATTTCTCTAGGATGAGCTTGATGAGAATCGGCCTCACGCTAGAATGTAAAAGCTTGGCATACTGCTCCATGCCACTACTTTTCATGTAATGTAACTTACATTCTAATAGAATTGTACATACATGCTGTAATTGTTATCTTGAATCCTGTTACAAAATTTTGTTAGTCATGCAATTTATATGTGCCAGTGTGCCACTACTTTCTTTTAGGGTAGTGCAAAATCTGGTCCAGTTTACCTATTAATATATGAGCCTAAACCATAAATGGAAATTCGGTCATTTAGTATGTCAGGTAGCTAGGTTTTTCTGGTATAGATAAGTACATCATCCTTGATCATTTAGAGAACTAAGGATTTCTTAAATGTGTTATTAGCGACACTTAATTACATTATAAAGAGAGAAATGGAGGGAAAGGAAGGATGCATCATCATCCTTTGTTTGGAATTAGAAGGATCAATGTTCCTTCCTCTTTTAATAGCCCAAATCTCTCTATTGTGGAGAGATTTGGAAGGAAAATGGTTTTCACCTTCTTCCTCCTTTCTCTTCCCCTCCCTTTTACCTTCACTATTGTTATCCAAATATAGTGTAAATTTTATGAATGAGCTTCATCAAGAAAAAAAAAAAATAGGGGAGGGGGGCAGGGGAGAGTTTGACAATTCATCACCCTCTAAAGAAAATATTATTTATAACAGCACAAACAAAATAAAGTAAAGAGTTCCTTTGTAAAAAAGAGGGTAACTAGTCCTTTCTAAAAACATCAATTTTTGTTTAAAGTACCTCCGTTTATAACTTGAAAGTGGTTTAGTGAAAAGGTTTGTTATCTCACAACCTGTTGTAAGATCAAACCTACTAGATACACTTTGGGTTTGTCCTTTTGTTAAATACTTCCTTTGTCTTATTAGTTGATATATTTCATTTAGATATCCGAATCTGAATATGTTTTCCTTAAAATTAATAAAATTATTACTCACTTGCTTGTGGACATAGCCAACGTGTTGTTGGTGAACCACGTTGTCCACGTACATTCTATGCATGTTTCTTGTTGTTTTGTATTCATTATTTGTTTCTCTCTTGCATCCTTGGTATTAGAGCAGTTTTGATTGCACCACCTAATAGACACCGTATGTGTTAGGCTTATGTTAATGGTCTCATGCCTGAAAGTCGGAGAATTAGCAAATGCTCTACTGCTCTAGCCTCGTAACTCTAGTATTAAGCTTTGCGAAGTATAAAAAGAATCTTTTATAAAAACAAAAGAAGGATTACTTGGTACAAAGAAATTACATACTTCGTAGTATAATATAGTAACAACTAACAAGGGTACATATAGAGAATTAATTTAATTAAGCCTTTAATTAAAATACAAAGTATTTCACTATTTCGTATTATTTTGAACTTTTTTGGGAGCGCTCGCCACATAAGCAAGAGACTTATTTCAACCAATGAAAAGAGATTGAATACGTCTTTTACAACGGGTGTACATTAATTTTATTATAAAATGGTCAATTTGAGCGTAACTTTAACTATTTTAATAGTAACTTTAACCACTCAAAGGGTAACTTTTATTTGTTGTTGGTTTGAATTTTATTTTAATGTGTAATTTCTTATAGATACGATTACATACTATAGAGACTAATATGATTAATCTAACACATTATAAGTTTTTTGTAAGATAAAATTTATCAATATAAAAATAATAAATTTTGCACTTTAAAGGGTAACTTTAAGTAATTTTAACATAAATTTAACCTGTTTTACAATAAATTAACGTACACCCGCCTTTTTGGAGAATTTTTAAAAGAGATTTATATTTTATTTTAGAATTAAAAAAAAATCAATCATCACGTATGCATAATTAATGAATGAGATTTGAGATAATTAATTGTACATGCCACATAGGTTGAAAGAAATTCTACTAATAGTGATTTAGCATTTAAATTATTTTTAAAAACAAAAAAAATAAAATCATCTTTTCACATTAAAATTTTTATCCTAATATACATCAAATGATAATATATACAAAGACATTATTTTGACCAATGATAAAAAAAATTTACATTAACAAAATAAAACATCATATAAACAAAATTAATGAATGAATTTGATAGTGTAATTTCAAGTGTCACGTATAAACTATGATTTAGATCTTAAAAAATAAAAAAAAAATCTTTTAGCATTAAATATTCAGCGGTTTGTGTGTGGTTAGTCACACCATGTGGCTATAAAACTGACCAACAAATAAGATTTGAGAGTTTAATATTATGTGCCCGTAGGGAAAAGAATACAAATAGTGATTTAGTATTATTTAAATTATTAAAAATAAAAAATATCACATCAAAACTTTTTATCTTTATATCCGACAAATAATATAACATTATTATGAAATATAATAATGTATGTCCATTATGTATATCATTGTAACCTCCCACGCATTATTACTTCCCTAAGTAACCTCTTGTAACTCCTTTTCCTTTAGCTTATTGTTTTCCTTGGGGAAAAAAAAATAAACATAAAAAATATTTCGGCAAATCACAAAGCAACACGTGCCATGTTAACCTATTATACCGGTTACCAACAGATCAGGGACCATTTGGAAGAAGATACCCCCTAAAGGTGAGATTATTAAATAATAATAAAAAGGTGGGATTATTAACGACGAATCGGCCAAATGTGTTTAATTAAAAAAATTTTAAGACATCACTTTAATGGTTGTAATAAGTCAAATAATCAATAAAATTAGGGGGCGAATGTTACTCCATATTTCGTTCTATGTTTAGAATTACTCTACGTCTCTACGTACATATTTTAGTTTTCTCTCTCCTCTCTACTCTTACTTCAGACTCCAGTGATGACAAATATGGAAAATGCCATGGATTTACTGAAATCGAAGCTCTCTAGTGTTCGAATTCTCGATCAGAGCAATTGCATTTCCAATCAATGTTGCATTTCATCCGATTCTCCAGTAATTTCGCTGTATTTAGTTTAATTTTTGCGTTTTTGGTTAGTTTTGGTCATCGTATACCATCTTTTCGCCATAATCGAGTTTAGTTTTGGTCTGGAATCGAGTTTAGTTTGTGAAACTGAGGAAGCCATTACTAATGGTGTTGTATTGCTGATTGATTTTCATGGCTTATGGGAAGGATTATGTGCAGTCGAACTACAACAAGATCGGAAATGCAGTGTATCTGCATATCAAGCAGACAAAGAAGGAGGTCGCTGAAATCAGGCCGTTAAAGAAACCTAAAATTTCATCCATTGGTATGATCTTGAATTCTTGATAACCTTTAATCCACTTTAAAAAATTTGGGTTTTAATAACATACGTATAGTTTCACGTAATTTGTTAATTAATAAATACTTTAAAAAATTTCGTAAGTTGATGTGCGTTATTTGATAAGGGTAAAACCTTATCTGAGCTGATCTAGCTAAGAAGCAACTCCTAATTTTCCAGAAAACGAGAGAATAAGAAGAAGGAAGATGAAGATAACAGAATAGAGAGAGAAAGATAAATAGTTTCACGTAATTTGTTAATATGTGAAATATAACATACATATAGTTTCACGTAATTTGTTAATTAATAAATAGTTTAGTGAATTTTCGTGAAAATTCAAGTAATATATTACATGGTGACATTTCATTTTTAACAAATATTGAATTATTTTTAGAGACGTGGTAAAGGGCCTAATGTTTATGTTTTCTTCAAATCAAACTTGTGGTAATATTGGATTTGGGTTATATGTGACAATTACAGATCGGGGAAGGATATTGCATTCTATGAAACGTACTTTGAGTTCCAAAGTTGATGTAAAAACTTGGATAGAAGGATAATTTACTTATCATCACCCAAACAACGTGAGAATTTATACTTTGATCAACAAGATTTGGATTTGCCATAAGAGTTAGAGAATGTGTTTTTGACTCTTAGTATGTATGCAAGAAAGGTACCTATAAAATTGATTATCCTTGGCTTTCGATTGATCAAATCACTTCAAATAACATCTACAGTGATATAGTTCGTGAGCAGAAATTTCAATTACACCAATTTTGTCGAGACAGAAAATTACAGTATCTAGTAGCAAGTATTAGAGATCTTTTAGAGTAAGTTTTGTTTTTTCTTTCAATTTCACCTGGTTTTTTTTTTCTTTTGGTGATTTTTTATTAAATTCAACATCTTTAACATCTGTTTTTTTTTTGTTGGATAAAAAACATGAATATAAAGGTGTCGAATATGTGAAGCGCCTGCACTCTATTGATTTTAATATGAAGCATATGAGTGGGGAGTTGCTCGAGGAATTCAGGTTGAACTTCAACATCAGCAGAAGACCCCACAATTTATTTAAAGTATTCTTCTGTTGCTGATTTGTTCGAGTTAGCAGCTGAGTGGAGGAAGAAGAGAAATGATACAGCTGAGAAGAAGAGAAATGAAGCAGCTGAATGAAAGAATGAAGCATTTGAATTTACTGTGCTTAGCTATATGTGAATAGAATTTCTTGGAAGATGATACACAATTACTCGTAGACGAATAAGGAAATTATAAACAGTTGTTATTTCGAAAGTAAGTATTGAAAGTAAGCATTGAGACCAATTTACATTTGCAGATGACTTTAGGTTTATAAGCCGTTATATAAATAAAAGAAGTATTACTTGATTGTGATAATTTGGGGTTTTAATAACATACGTATAGTTTCACGTAATTTGTTAATTAATAAATACTTTAAAAATTTTGTAAGTTGATGTGCGTTATTTGATAAGGGTAAAACCTTATCTGAGCTGATCTAGCTAAGAAGCAACTCCTAATTTTCCAGAAAACGAGAGAATAAGAAGAAGGAAGATGAAGATAACAGAATAGAGAGAGAAAGAGAAGAGAGAGAAGGAGATTAGAGAGAGAAGTTGTGATTCATTTCATAATCCCCTAATTACAACCTCAGGTGCATTAATAAAGCATGAGCTAATAACAGAATAAAAATGCAAAAAGACAAAAATGCAAAAACAGAATAAAAATGCAAAAAGACAAAAATGCAAAAACAGAATAAAAATCAAAATAACAGAATTACTTAACCAACTTTCCCGCCAAAACTCGAGCACCCAAATTTTCTCAAGATATATATCCAAATCCCCCGTCTTCAACTTCTTTCAAGGCATTCATCATATTCACAGGCTTCACATTGGTTCCATTACTTCCAAATTAGTTTCATTGAATGATGTTTTCACCATAACTATTTTCGTATGGCAGGATAGTCTTTGATCATGTACGCTAAGTTTCGCCCGCAATTTTTTCTAACTTATTGACCTGGATATGCAGATGTAGTCTAGTCAGGCTGTAATCTTTACTTCTTTACATTCGTTTTGGTAGAAGGACAGAACTTATCAAAGAAAAATATATATAACTTTCTCCAAAAGTGATAATTTCCAATTTTCCATGGAATTGCTCAAGAAAATATATTCATAACACATTAACACACAAACCCTTCTAAAAAGATGTTATCATGTCCTTAATAGATAATGTATGATGCACATAACATGATACGCAAGTGAAAGCCCAAACAATGGAAACAGAGATGGTACAACACTAGCTTCTGTTAATTACACCCTATGTGACCGCCTGAATTTTTATATGTTCAATATACGTCAATGTCTCACTTAGGTGAATCCGCAACATTATGCAAAAGACAATGAAGGATAGACAAGTGAGGATGAACATTTATAATTTTGTACAACTAATTAGAGGAACTGGGGGGGGGGGTAGAAGAGTATTGTATCTAGACCGAGTGTCATTGAATGGAAGAAAAATCTTTATATGACAAAACTAACAATAAGACATACTTGTATTAACCTAACCTATAATCAGAGAGCAAAAGAAAATAAGCTTCATTCACCAATTTAAGGAAGCCAACCCCCATTAAGGAACTAACTCCACCGAAAATTTTTAACAGACGACTATAAAGAAACTACCCTCTCTCCCGCTCATAGTCTCATAAGACAAGTATACTCGTAATTATTCTCGACAAAAAAATCAATAAATCCCAAATCAAAGGTTACTGGATAAACAGAACAATAACATAAAATTTCATCAACAACTAGAGAACCAAACACTTGCTAATTGGTCAAGAGCAAGTTCAGGCAAGACCATCTTGCACTAACATAGAAAAAAAGTGCTCCTAAAACAACACTTCAAAATTGATTTAGTCAACCTAATCTCCAAATAAGTTACTGTATTCAACTAAGACTTTGCCATCCCAATTCCCTTCCAAGAATCCTACTTACTTTCATATTCATTTTATTTGAGAGGAAGAACCCTATTTACTTAGGTGTGCAGCTAACAGGACTATACGAAGAACATCAGCTCTGAGTGTGCCATTCTACTACATGAACAATGTACTTTATCTACATCGGGACTAAAAGCTGACATATACATAAAACAATGTGTTTAAACTTGAAAGTTTTAAGAATCTTAGAAGTTGGAAGCTGTTTCCCATTTCTTGTTTTTTTGGAAATGGGAGTGATGAGGCATTGTCAAGACAGCAACAATAAACATGGCTAACCTCGTCTTTCTTTTCTTTTTTGTCTCTCACGAAGAACTTGTAACTTCCATAGAATAGTGTGCCCCAACCAGCCAGAGAAACAATGACAAACTGCGAACAATGAGAATTTAGAATATGGCATGGCAGCACAACAGAAAAAAAAAAAAAAAAAGTTTTGCAACCAAACCTTTAATCCAAGATATAACCCCTACTTCATTTTAGCAAGTCCTTTGAAAAAAACTTTCACCTCTGCCAGTTTATCAAATGCTTTTGAAAGAGTAACAACACTAACAAGCATTCCTTTGCTCTTTTATTAAGTAAACCAGTTGGAAAACCAGATCGGAATTTCAGACACTAAATACAGGATAAGAATAGATATGTCAAAAAAGTTCATATATATTGGACACATGATATTTAGCATATGACTATCTAAGTAGTCCGTATGATCTGATTTTTAAGTATCCGCCCTTTGCTTGATCAAACAAATCACTATGTAACGCACGACCTCTCCATAATAAAAACCCAACTTACTAACAATATCAAAATACAAATCATATTTGGAATATGAGCAAATAAAAAATTAAAGCATATGATACAACACTCACCTGTTCTTCCTTCCATCTCGATGGGCTTAGAGGGTCCTGCCAAAAGTTCACTTTCGGAGGGCCATGATGATCTGCAATGTAAACAACATAAGTAAATTCATTAGACAAAAATTTCAATTCATTTGACATGTTACAACTTCTACAAGACTCTTCCAAAAATTCTGGATGCTATTGCAAAAAATGAAGCAATGGAGTGCACTAGAGTATAAAGTAATCAACATGGGTACCGGGTACTTGGGGGAAATAGCAAGTCCACAGAATATACATCGACCAATATCCGCAGAATAGCAAGTCCGCAGAATATACTCACAAAATGCTCAAACTTCTACAGGAATATATGCCTAAACATGATTCCAGGGAAACCTTGGACAATATCCCAAGATTCCCAACAATAAGCTCAATATCGAACCAGGTAAAGTACACATAAGACATAACCAAGTAGAGTATCAAGAAATCAGCACAGTAATTGAGGTGAATGAAGATTTCACATAAGTTATATCAAAATCAATAAATCTCACTAAATGCTCAAGATACATGGCTTAACGCAATTGCAGAAAAAGATTTTAGCTTGGACGTAACCTAGACAATAAGCTCAAGTCTTACGCTCAACATTTGGTCAGTTGAGCAAATTCTTAAATTAGTATAGCAACTTTTCGGATGAACAATTTCACAAGATTTTTCGCTCTTCACCCCTTCAAAGATATGATCAAATTTCATGAACCCTGACTTAATCAAACGAATGGAGTACAACCAAAGCAAATTCAAACTCATTCTAAATTTGTACAGCTTTAACACACCATTTGAGAATTCCTACAAGTAGCACATCCGAAAGAAGCTCAATTTTATTTTATTTTTCTTGGTGTATAGGAAGCTACATAGGGTGACGATGCGGATGGGGTTCGATCTCAAATCATTGCATGATCACCATTTTAGTCTGCAGGTACAAATCACCACACAGATAAATGCATAACAGCATAAAGGATTTTACTAACAATGGTTTAGGATGCTGCTAAAGTACTCATATTAGTATCATAATAAGTTGGTAGCATGACAATTTTGTCTGTATATTCATAATTATTACCAGTATAAAAAGTAAGCCAAAGATCAGAGAGGGATAAAGGAAAAAAAAAAAAAAAAGAATACCGCCACCGCTAGAGAAACCTCGCCGTTGTATGAAAGGAGGAGCACCGGCGAGTTTAGAGGAGGAGAGGCGAGTCAGCTGAGCAGCTTGACGAGTTGCTCCAAACCAAGCAGTCATTTTCGTAGCTTCTTTCACATGCAGGAAGGAGAGGTAAAATAGATGGCAAAGCATCGAGTGAAATAAATAGTTGGTATGTTAAGAAGTATTTAGAAAATCAGACACTTCCAGTGAGTTCCTTAACTCCTTTCATTGAGTTGGTGTCAAATCTGTCATAAAAAAAAGGGATCACTAGCTTACATAAGATAGGATAAATAGTCATACCCATTAGCCAACACGCAAGATGAGATCGGTTAGGAACCAAGATTTCATATTTGGTGGTTGTCCACCAAATATGTACAATCTATTCGCTTTGAAGGGTGTGTTCTTTTCAAGTGCAGGTCTACAACCTAACGTCAATCCCAAAATTATATATTCCATTTCTACTTACTCGTATTTTTAAAAAAAATGTACACATACAAGGAATACAAACCTCACAGATTATTTTAGAAGGTATAACACAAATTACCAGAAGCCAATACACATCCTGAGGCTTTAAAATATACTTCGTACATAATACATTTAATATTAGTCTTCTGTAGGCCTTTTATCTTGTCCAATATCGTGACATAACAATAAAATCTCGGATCTAACACACGGAAGCAACTATGTGATATTTACTATCATACATTACTGAGTGATTCATAAGGTCTGGCTCATAGACGGGAGCGTATCATAATCCTTTTCCTGTTAGGCATCAGAAGGGTTTTTTTATCCACCTGCTCAGGAGGAATCCTTTTAAATGAGCTTGGCTCCAGTATCTCTGAAGACATTTCATTCTTCAGCTTCATTGCATTCATCTCTTTCTGCATCTTCTCCATCTTGGTATTCTCCTTTTCTGAACTCAACATAGTGTCACTGTCAGGCTTCTGATTCTCCTGGTAGTTGCACACTTTCAAGGAGCTTCGGTCTTTCAAGTCTTCTTGCACTGTTTTATGCAACTGCAGGAGACCTGGATACACCCAGTGTCACAAAGGGATGAAATGAAGGTCACAGAGTAGAAACATGAGAACAATGTTACCAACTTACCACAATAACTAAAACATGGAACGAGGGGAATAAAGAGATGACAAGGGCTGTGTTTGATTGGGTCTTTGGGAGGATAATTATTTTCCATACAAACTTGGTTTTCTTCCAATTTCCTTTAATTTATTTGGTCTGTTAAGGGGCACAATATCAGAATTTGAACTTGATTTTCCAAACGATAAAATATATTTCTACTTTTTTAAAGAAAGAACCATCCATCCAATAAAATACAAGTAAAAAATATAAAGGATTGCCCTGTTTTCTTATCTCTCAACCTCCTTCCCTCTCCTGTCTCCCCCCTCCCCAGCCGCCCCATACACACACACAGTAATTTATATAATGGAGCAATCAATAAGGAAACCACAAGGTCAGGCCAAAGATGGTAGCAAAACTTATTAAAAATCTTCTTATGCATACTAGAACCAGTAGCAGGACAAGATTTGAATTTATTTTACCCGTTGCCAGTAATAACGGAAAAATGTTATGTTCCATGAACTGTGCACTCACAAAAATAAATACCATTAGAATTTATCAAAATGCAAGACCATTGGAATATCTTGATCACTAATAAAAGAAAAGCTTCACCACAAAAATTGTGAACCCTCAAAGAGTTTTAAGCTTTATCAAAGAAACTTTACTTCATAGAAAGCTGCAAGAATTTTTGCTGTCTACAATGTATATACTAAGTCCAAATGCAAAGAAACAAGAACCTAAGTCCCCAACCCCCCAAAAAAGAGATGAATGTTTTATGTTTATGAAATTTCTAATGATGCATTGAGATGATTTAATGCAGTAGGTTTCATAATTCCACTACCTTTAACTAAAAATTGTTTAAAACTACCTGAGATCCTCAAACAACACATTTTATCCCTACGATTTAGCAAAATTGCAAGTTTGCAACCAGTCATGCTACAAGAGAGAGCCACAAAGGGACACTAAAGTAAAGCCTTTTACTGTCAACATTCGAGATCTTCCAAGCATATGATGTCATATGGTGCACAAAAAACACAACACATGTTCTTAACAACAATTTGAGACTTACCAACAAAAGGTGAATTGATGCAAGCTTCAATTTCACCCTTCAATTTCCACATGATTGCATGGTTATCCCTATAAGGCGCGTTAGCCACTTAACCTCAATAAAATTCTACAAAGTTCTCATATAAGTATAACCCCAATACAACCCATCATTCACACGTTTTATTAATTTTTTTGCATTATTAATTAATAATTATCCTTAAATGAACATCATAATACACAACACATCAACAATAACTCACTTTTCTGATATAAATTAATTATTCTTCAACACATTATGTTTCACAAATCCTCCTTATTCCCTCTTAAAAATCTAATTCTTTCATAAATCATCAACACCGATATCAAAATAATAATCATAATTCTTTCATAATTCTTATTCAACATCGATTTCAAAATCATAATTCTTACATAAATCTTCAGAAAATCATGATCAGAGCAAACCAAACACAGTTACAAGTATCAGTAGAATATACTCTTTCAGACTTTTATATCATAGTATTTCATACTACGAAATATAAAATGGCAACAATATTACACCTTTCAATAAACCCAACAAATTATACAATTTTCAGCATAAATCACAAAAAATTCTGAAAATTAGGAAAAATAAATCACCTTTTTTTCCTTTTGTTGACAAATTAACGGAAAAATCGACGGCATATTTTCCGATACTTTCCAGAAACCAGCCTATTTTCCGGCGATCGGACACGTGGCTCTGCTTCAGTTCGCCGTGTTTCGAAACGGCAGCCATAACCCCAACGATTTACTTTGTTCGAAACGTTTCGAAGTGGGAGTTTCGGAGTGGAGCTTTAGGAAGCTGCATCTGCAAAATTGCAAGCTTTTGGGATGAAAGAGGGCAAATGTTAATACGACGTCGTTATCTTTACAATATCTTATCTACTACGAAGTACAAAATTTGACCCGAGCAGACTCTCGTTTTGAAATTTGTGGATTTTGAACAAAACTTTGTACATTTGAAATTTAAATTTTTCTTTAAATTTTTTTACCGAGTAAACATTAAACTACTAAGCTCTATTCACTTCTTTTCAAATTGTTTATATTGAATTGAAATTATTTTTGTTGAATTATAAATATTTTACGAGCATAACCAAGTTTATCATTTTAATAAGTTTGTAATTACATGTGAATAGTAACTTAACCTTCTTACTAACATCGTTTAATTTCTAAATCAAGCCACAACCTTATCTTCTTTGTTCTTCATCAGATTCACAATACACACAGTAACACACCCACCTTCACCTTCTTCCTCGCCCATCTTCATCATACCTACACCCATCTTCATCATCACAAACACCACCGAGTCCATATCATATCCTTCTATTCGACATTGACAACGATCAACATCATCACCAACACCACCATGTTAATCCATAAGAGAAAACGAAGAAAAAAAGGGCATGGTTAGTCTTTTCTCTTGATCTCCCCATTAAAACTTCTAAGTTTTCTCTATAGATGCTTTTTCTTAAATGCTACTGAACTTTCACCATGAATCATTTGATCGAACGACATTAATATTTTCCACTTGATAAACATGAAAGATGATACATATGTATTTTCTCGTATTTAACTAACTGAAATTAATTTTATTGAATTCTATATATTATATTTGTTCTTTAAAGTAATTTTACAATTTCATGAATTTTTTCGAGGACAAAAAATTAAAGAAAATGAATAAGGACTGTGATACATGTATTACGCCACTTTATTTTTGCTACACTGAAATTATTTTTGTAGAAGTTAAATTATTTTTGTTGAAGTTAAATTATATTGATTAAAATGAAATTAATTTTACTGAACTGAAATTATTTTTACTAAAGTAAAATAATAATTATTGATTCTCTATTATATTTTTCTTTAGTTAACGAATTTTACTAATTGAAATTATTTTTACTACAGAGTAATTCCCTATTTTTTTCTTTAAAGATAGTAATTTTAACTAAATTGAACATTTTTTTTTATCTACTCGTAACAGTTAACGTTAAAAAACTGGATGAGTATTATAATTCTTATATTTCTTCCTCCTATGTCTTGTTCCCTTCTTTCCCGAGTCTCCTCCATCAAAACGCACTCTTAATCCTCCATTAGAGTGTCTTCTGAGCTTTCTCTCCAGCATTGAAACAGCTTTGAGGTAATTATCCTTTTATTTTGATTAATCATTAAATATCAATTTCATAATCTAGGGTTTAGTTTCACACTATCGTTAATTTGATTCAGTAAATTGTTCTTCTGAGTTGGATCATTGAACTATTGATTAAAATTGCTGAAGTTTTGATAGATTATAACCAGCGATTTTTTTGCTACAATTTCTAAACGCGCAATTTAGATTGATAATCTTCATTGAGAAGATTATTTTGCGATTCATCATAGTTTATAAGTTTAATTGATCTATATTATTAGACTTTGTGTAATGTAATTGTCGTGTATTCGTATTCTCGTCTCCGAAGCTTGCCGAAAAACATATATTTCGCCCTTTATTAACATTATGGGAGTTAAGACATGGCTGAGGTTTTGCTTGTAATTAAAATTTTGGAAATTTATTCAATTTGGAATTATTGCTTCTTAATCTCTGAATTTAGGCTTGTTACCGTATGATTAGTAATTTAGTATTGCCGTATCATTGTCGATTTAGATCTTACAATCGCAAGCAAGGATAGGAAAATGGGTTTGAGGTTGGAGATTCTCATTTGATAACTCATTACTCATTAGTGTAGTATGATCAAGGAAATACAAGTAATTGTTTTTTCTTAATTGCCAAACATTGCTGACATTGGTAGGTTCGTAATTTGCTTATTTATTTATATATATTTGTGTGTGTGTGGACTGTGGCAGGTGGGAATCTTGGTATGGGGATTAGCAAAACTGAGATAAATCTGAGAAGGTTAATTGCTGCTGCACCACAACAACAAAATCAGGCAAAATTGGCTCATGCATGTTAATCGAGATGTTGTGAACAAATTTCAATTTATATGCATCTAAATTTTTTAATCATACGTTTATTCAACTTGTTTGTAGTTCATATGCTTTTCACCTGATTGGATTACAATCTGTAATTATGCAGTATGTTGCTACACTGCGCGAATTGTTGGAACAGCTAACTGAAGAGACCACTCCAGAAGGCTTGCCCAGGTCAGCTTATAAGTTTGTGGTGTTTAGTGGCATTTTTTTTATGGAATGTTTAAAAAGTTTGTGGTAAACAAAGAGATCAACTGCTAATAGTTGTGAACTTGAAACCAAAGCTCTAGTGAAAAACTCCCTTTCTCTCTCTTCTTATTGTTATAAATAGTGGAGATATTCTCTTGCTCCTTAACGTTGGAGAAATGGGTTAGAGGCAGAGAGGGTGGGATTTGGGTAATTGGGGATAAGCTTCCTCAGCGATGCATGGTAGAAGCAGATGCAATAACCTTAGCAGTAGAAGTAGAACTAGTTAGAGATTAGAGTTTGGATCTTAGAATTGCAATCTAGCCTTGCTGCATTAATGAAATCGTCTATTTTTGTTGAGAAAAAAAAACCTATTCTTAATGTCCTTTTTGCATGATGTTGTAGACTGCGAGTGAAAATTGGGACTAATTTCTTGGTTAGGATAGTGTAATGATATAATCTGTTAATTTATGAGTATAATAGTCTAGCTATCAAGCCGTTTGATGACTATTGTGATTTGTGATCCATAGTTTTATGTTATGTGTTGTGTTAGATACTTTGCTCTATCATCAACATAACTTAAATCCTTTACTTTTTTCAAACTTTTTGTTACTGTATGGGTTTACTAAACATCAATTTAATCAATTCACTCTGCTCCTGGGTTTTACCTTGTAGGGTCTCCAAAGCTAAAGTAAATGATTACTCTGAGAAGATTGAATCTATTGCAGCCAAATTAACTTCACCTATGGTATGTTTTGACGGCCTCTATTTTTCTATGCTTAATCTTAGCTGTTGTAGCTCTGCTATATATTGCTTTTTTACACTGCATAATCACTTATAAAACTTGTGATAGCAAAATGTATGCTTGTATGTCTGCTAGGTGTCTGTTCATTGTTTATGTATTTTTTGTATGATTTTGATTGAGGAGGTTGCTAGTGATTTATTAGTTACACAGAGTTGAGTTTCTCGAGCTGTTCTAGGATTTTTTTTTTTAATTATTTTTATTTTGTTGTTTAAACCAGAAATTTGCATTATGTGGAGACCAAGTTGTTTCAATAACAAACTTCAAATGTATAATCTTTTAAAAAGGGCAGAAAAGGAAGAAGTTACCAGACTCTGTATATAGAGAGCTTATTTATGTTGAATATATGATTTCAATAGTTCCAAAGGAAAATAGTTTGCTGCTTTTGATCAACTTTGGTATGGAAAGGAGGTTTCATTAATAACTATTTGGTACATGACTAATGCAGGAACTCTTTGAAGAGACTTCCACTGAGGCAAGCCCTCAAATAGGTGAAGAACTTAAAGTTGCCTCCCCACCAGGACTTAGGAAGAGACCAGTGTATGTAAACATTACAGTCTTATTCATGGAGTTATTTTAAGGAATTTTGAAATTGAGTTGGAAGGTTTTTTGCGAGTGTAGGCCATCCTCATTTGTTGAAGACAAGTCACACGATAATGTTGGACCTGATTCCTCACCACTTGTTAAATTAGATGCTGCTGCCCATTCACATATAGACAAGCACAGGTAATTTTATTCTGAACATTATATTGTAAATGTGGTTGATAACTCTGAGTTTATCACTGTTTGCTTGAAAGAGTAAACTGAGTAGTCTTCATGATACACATCTACTGTCACTACGGAGTGTTTTGAGAAAGGATATGAACTACACGTCTTCCAATGTTAATTTCAGGAGCAAGAGATCAAGGGGATTAGAACTTAAAAGTTGAAACTTCAGGAAGCTCAGTTTTGCTTATCTCTACTGGAAGCAGATTTCAATATAGAGAATTGTCTTGTATAAATTTTGTGGATTCTTTTTGAGGAGATTGTTTCCGGTCCCGTGTTTTTTTTTATGAAGTTGTCCTCAGCAATTTTTTGCATTTTTATATAAATGTCTACTTTATCCCCATTTGCCGTTAGAGATGAAATCCTTCTAGCCTTTTATTGGGGGTGACATGGTTAGAGATTATTTTCAGATATTGTTGTATCGTGTTATTGATTCTTGGTGAGCATATGCTCACTCAGCTTTCCTTTGTATAAAATTGTGTTATTGAATTTCACTTCTTTGTGATACAGAAAGCTTCAAGAAGACTTGACTGATGAGATGGTGGGAATGGCACGACAACTGAAAGAGAGCAGTCTCTTAATGAGTCAGTCAGTGCAAAATGCTGAGAAGGTACATACTTGCCTTCAACTATGCTTTCTTGAGCCTACTTTGAACATGACACCGCTTCACAAAATCTGTATTACTTTTTTCTGAAAGGAATCTTATGACTTTGTTGTGTAAAGAGACCAGGTTGTGGTGGTGTTGTCTGTGTAATTAAATAGCTGCAAGTTAATGAGTTATTTCCTCCCTCCAAAATGTTTTATTTTGCAACTGGATTCATTTTATGCTCATACATTGAAATAAAATTATGATTAAATCCTGAAAACGACTTAGGGTTGGTATCCTTTACCTTTATCTTTTCTACCTAGGAATAGAACTGGATCGGACTCCCAAATTTTGTTTTGAGTTCAGGCTTGAGATTTAAAAAGCTACCGTATAACTTTTGTTTAGATTTGGACTTGGTTAAAAGTTAAACTAATCTTGCCAAATTACTCCATACTGCTACCTGTAGCTTAAAAAAAATCTACAAAATGGGGGTAATGTTGTGAGGCAACTAGGTGTGATATGTAGTAGATAATACGAAGTATTAGAACTGTGGAGTTTTTTTGGTTGTCAATATTTTTCCAGTTCAGGTTGGCCGTTTGAATTCAGGTTGTCCGAGCCCCTTCCACTTTCTACGACCTAGAAAACCAAAAAATGAACATGAAACATTAGAAGATTGTGAGAATAGGGTATTATTTAAGTACAGGACCATTGTATCCTGCATAAATTAAGTTGTATGTTGTGCATTTTAGGGGCCCAGCCGCCCAGGATAGGATAAAAAAAAAACACTTGATTCTGGTAAGGGCTTTATATATAGAGATATAGGTAAATTTGGGATGGGGCACTATATATAGTCTTGCAGCTGTGTCTTAAAAATATTCTCACTATCTCATGACACTCTTGAGAGCTTTACCATGGAAATTAGTGTTGAGAGGAAGTTTTTAGATGTAAATATTAATCTATATGCTATTTTTTGCGGCAAAAGATTCCTTGTCTTTGGTGCAAAAACACATTTCTTGCTTGCTTTCGTGGAAAATTAAACTTTTTGCTTCTGTCCTTTGTCAACAAGTCAATTGTTCTAAGTGCTATGTTTGTTGCTTCTCACCTTTCTGGTCTGGTCTAGTCTAGCATCTTAAATTTGTTTGTTTCCAACTTGGCTCACATTATCGTGGCTATTTTGGGGGGTTAATTTTGTTTTTTCATCATGGTTTTGTTGATATAGATACTTGATTCAACCGAGAAGGCAGTTGAGCATAGCTTGGCAAGCACTAGTCACGCCAATGTAAGGGCAATGAGTGTTTTTTCACAGAGCTCAAAGACTTCATGTTTAACGTGGCTTATTATGTTTATTATGCTAATGGTTTTTATGATGGTGGTTTTCCTTATTCGAATTACTTGAGTTTTTTTACTCGAGCTGCTTAAATTTAAAACTTAAGTTGTGTTGATAATTTTTTTTGGATAAAAAAAAAAGGCGATAATGATACAGTGTAATACTTCTAATCAACTATCAGGTGACTGTTAAATAGGTTTTTTTTTCTCTTTTTTTTTTTTTGTTTTTTGTTGGTACATGTAATGTATTGTAAGATCCTATCTCAGGGATTACCACTTCTGCTGATATGATTGTTAGAATTGATTACTGACTTACTGTTAATTGGTTTTATTTTATAATTGAATTGACAGGAGAATTATTGTAACTCTTCTTCTTTAACTTCTCCCTTGAGTCCCTTCTCCCTATTCTATGTTTAATCCTAAAACCATTTGGTAATTGGTGTGCCTTCCAGGAGAATTACTGTTACTTGGTTTTATTTTGCGAAGAACAATAAAGCTTCGTTCCCTAATTGAACTCATATGAATTTCGGTTTAAATTAGCCATATGGTGGAGACTTCGAATTGAATAAGTAAAACATATGACTGATGTGAGATATCATTTACAATGTGTGTCTGTGTGACACTAACATGGAAGTGCTCAGCTGAGCACCGCCTATGTGGTTTCAATTAATATCTACTCTAATGTGTAATTGATTCCATGTCCCGGAAAAACAAACTATGGAGTAGTACCCTAATTACTCAATTTGAATTACCTTATCCTAGCCCGGATTGTTTATGAGATCAAATGACTGACTGGATCAAAGCTTACTAGACTCGAAAATAAATGTAATTAAATCAAAGTTTTTTTTTGTTTATGAATACGACAAAATTCAAATTAATAATTGAAACCAAATATAACTGAAATCACTTGAAATCGAAACCAGAACTCATGTGCCAAAACTATTTTGCAATTGGTCATAAAGTTCCAATCAAAAAAATTTCATCCACCTCTGAATTTCCCTGTCCAATTTTATTCAGATTTTAACTTCTGGCAAACTGGCTACAGATGATTAGGGCAATATGCGTCTGAGGAATGGCTATGAAGAAAAGCTGTCATTGTTCTCAGGCAAAATAGACAATTAAGGAAAAAAAATGTTGTTCACATCTTTAAACCAAACTCGGATTCAATTTCAAAGTTTTCATTTCCTCTGCGCTGCAGTTCTGCACCATTAACAGAAGGCAATGCAGCTTCTTTTTCATCATCACCGTCATCCCCGATGTACCTATAGATTTTTGACGGCCTTCAGAGCATTAGATTCGGATGCTGTCATGATCACGATAAATTATATCATGACAACATATGCCAAAGTACCATTTGAAAAAACCTGGGCAACCTCCTACTTGATGTCAAACTTCAGCAGTACGAAGCAAACAGACATATGGAGCAACACAATACCAGTTTCAATGACGCCCTGTTTATTCAGAAAGTACCAGATCATACTTCGTATTTTTCTAGTTTATAATTAAGAGAAAATAAAGCTAAAGCTAGAAAATCATTCCCAAAGCTTACAACTAACCAAACAAAAAGATCGAGAGCTTAAAAAATTGTCTGATAAAAGATGACCTACAACCAAAAAATGGTTCCTTACCTGTATGAATATCTGCTTCTCTGCCTGAGCAGTGACGTTGAAAATGGTCCTTAAAGCCGCTCTCTTTATACTCGCAGTAACTCCTAGTGGTTTAAACAGAATGTAAATATTTTAATTCAATACATCCGAAACATCAGAAGAATTGTTAATTCTGCTCTACTTAGCAGTGACACTTTTATTGTAAATTTTTTATAGATAAAATATTCACACGACACTGATTAACTAAGAAAGAACATACATTTTTCCTAAGTTTTACTCACTTTTCGTATTCATTATAAATATATACTACATCAGTTTTCCTAAATTTTAGTTACTTTCCTTATTCATCCGTTTTTATACGTTCTAATCACTTTTACTATATTCTATTTATATCAACTTTTAATTCATATTTTATCATCTCCCACTCTTTTTTGTGGGACTCGATTATACGAAGTATTTACCAATTCTCTTATCCTCTCTCTGTGCTCCTAAAAGCAAAAGTTATCCACATGAGCGGTCCCTATATTGAATTCTCCTTGATTTCTATTGCTACATACTCAAGAAAATGGAGTTAATTGGTGTAAATGTGTGAGAAAACCAAAACTACACATATAATTGAAATAAATAATATTCATCTTGTAAGAATATAAAATGTCTGGAAAAAGTAGTGCTAAAGCAGGACAAATCTCTATTTTTCCAACACCTTCCATACAATCTACAATTCGACAAATTCCGAAAGCTGTAAACTCAGTGTGGCTCCTACGATGGAAATGTGTTGTAAACCATATTTGACTGCTATTGGGGCATTTCCTGAGTTTAGTATGGCTAAACTAGGCTATCTGAATTTTCAGAAACAGCTAGGTTATTTAAACATGCTTAAGAGGTTTATAGCTAAAGGAAGTAAATCTATGAGCATGAAAGAATGTCCTAGATTGACTATTAAATCTAGATGGTGGTAGTAGAAATCTAGATGGTGGTAGTATATGCTAAAGAAAATATTAAGTATCTAACCTCTTATTGGAGAAAGAATACAGCATTGTGCGTCTTGCATGCCTCAAGGCAGAACATCACTAAAAAAAGTTCAGAGTTTTGACGTCTGTCAGTGAGAACATCACCAGCGAATTGGAAAGGAAAAGGACGAGTGGATGAAACAAAGAAATTAGAGAAGTAACCTTAACAAAGTAAGGCAGGAGTTGATGTCTGCAGTCTCTGAACTATTATTCACTTTTGTTTTAGAAAATTTGTTTTCCAGTTCATGGAGTCTCCCAGGAGACCCAAGTTCTGCAATATGCAAAAAAGAATTTCTTATGATTGGATACTAAATTAAGAAAGTATGTAAGATGGAAAACTAAAGCACCTTCAAAGATATCAAAGCTGGATGCGCCTGCCACACTCAACTTGGTGAATGGCAGAAGGGTCTTCTTAATAAGAGGATTATCCCATTCGAGAGATTCCCACCACTCTTGATCTGCTTTTATCTGTTGAAGAAAAAGTGGTACCAGACCTTTCCATTGTTGTGTAGGGATACAGAGAGAGGTAGTCTCTTCACTATTGGACAATTTGTAACATTGATATGTTCAATGGAACCACAAGTTGGTATGATTCCACGAAAGAAACTTGTAAGACATGGTAGATCATCCAACTCTAACGCCCTTAAGTAGGGGAGTTCATAGGTGCCACTACTCTCTTGACCCTGAGAGTTGGGTGATGCAATAATCTCCTCTAAAATGTTGCAAGCTGCTACTTTAACTTCTCTCAAGTTGCTCAAATGGTACTGTGTTAAACTGCTCTTGAATATCTGCTTGATTTTTGCACAATATTCAACAGTAATTTGCTCAACAGAACACTTTCCTAGCATCCCTCCATGACAGATGCCTGTCAACTTTGGCAGCTGCCTCAAGTGCAGAGCTCTCAAGTTGGGAAGCCAGATTAAATCACCATCTTTGTCGACATATCCTTCAAAATCTATGATCTTTTCTCGACCACCATCATCATGGACTGCAATAATCATTTCTAATTCTTCGCATCCTTCAACCTCCAGCTCCTGGAGGTTATCAAGGCCACCTTTTAACAGATTTGATGTGAATAGCTCCTTGATATTGGGACAATATTTTATCACCAATATCTTAAGATTGGAAAAGGCACCTCCTTGGATAGCAACTCCTCCTTTTACTAGACCCCTGAAATCATGTAGATCAGTGAGAATTAACTCCTGAAGGCATTGAAGCAATAATACAACAGCAGCATTGAAGTGGTTCTTTTCTTGTGTAGCTTCAACGCCTGATACTGGTGACCATATCACTTCTATCACTCTGCAACGCCTAATGAGAATTCTTTTCAATGCTGTTAAACGAATTAATGATGGAAGGGCACCAACCAAGCTTCTTGCATCAAATGCAGAGTTATGAATCTGTAGATCTTGAGTGTTCTCTGGAGGAACAAATAGATCTCCTCCGCTTCCTCCTTTAAGACTTCCGCTGCATAGGATCACCATTCGTTCTGCGCTTATGCTATGATCAACCCTTTTGTATTGTCCTGCTCCAATGACAAACTCGTAGTACTTCAGCTGCTGGAAATGCTGAGATTTAACATATTTGTTAAAATTGCTTACATCAGATATCCTGCAGCCTTCCAATCTCTCCAAACATCCCAGTTTTAACACATCATCTCCTGAGATGCTTTGCACATCTGGATTGAGCTTAAGGCATTGGATGTGAGAAAATGTGGATAATGAACCACTGAGTAACTGACACAGATCCTTGCATCCCTCTAAATCAAGGAATCTAAGTTCAGCTAGCTGATTCATCCCATGCGGCACATCTTTCATTGACCAGCAAAAGCTAAAATCCAACTCCCTCAAGCTGGTAAGTTTCACTACTGACGGCACAAAATGCAAACGCTTGCAGAATTCAAGCAGAAGAGCTCTCAGGTTCTTCAATTCTGAAATCGAGTCTGGTAGCCTCTTGATGCTGGTTTTGGACAAGTTAAGCACTTTGAGTGCCTTCATGTGCACAAAGAAAGAATCTGGGAGTTTTGTAAATGGGTTTTGCTGAAGCAGTAAGGTAGTGAGGTCTGGACACATGGGTATTGTTCCGGGTTGAATTTCTGACAAAAAATTGTGCATTAAGGAAGCCTTGTCAAGATCTATTGTCCATCGTCGCCCACTAGGTATTCTTCTCAGCTCTGCACCCGCTGCAATCATATATCGTGGCTTAGTATTGGTGATTCGAATTGCCATGTCTCTGATGAAATTGTGCATCTTCACACATCTGTTATCATACCTCTCCAGTAAGCATGCATTTTCGAGTTTATTCAGCATGCTGTGTCCTTTATCAAATTGCTTTTGCCAACTATCTATCTTATCCAGAAGGCCTTCAGAACGGAAAAGAACAATCAGCTCATCTCGTACAATTTCACCATATTTAGGATACAATGCACATATTAGGAAACATTCCTTCAGCCTTTGGTCTTTCAAACGATCATAACTAAGCTTCAAAACTGGGAATATCTCTGTTTCTATGTCAGGTTGTCCTTCACTTGAGTTTTGCAACTCCTCTAAAGTATTACGCCACTCTTGAATGTCGTCTACTTCTCGCATGCTTCCAGCCATGACAATCAAACCAAGAGGCAAACCAGCACATTCAGCAGCAACTAGCTCTGCAAGCTCATTTATTTCTGGTGACATATGATCTCTCCGTCCTAGTACCTTGCTAAATAGCTCCCAAGCTTTTTCCTTTGACAGCGGCTCCACCTTGACAGTTTTCTGACATTTCATCCTTCTGCACACATCCAAAGACCGCGTTGTCAGGATCAATTTGCAACTATTCTCATCTCCGATAGGAACCCCCACATCCTCTAGAGAAAAATGTTCCCACACATCATCCAGGAAAAGAAAAACATTATTTCTCTGCCTTAACTCGTAAGATAAAGAGGCTGCTTTCCTGATTGCATTTTTCTCTGTTAAAAGATAGCTCAAATTCATAGCCTCAGCAATTTTATCCTGCAACATAGGCAATGTGATGCCATGTGACACAGATACCCAATAAACGCGTGCAGATGATTTAAAGCGTTCAAGTAGCTCATCGTGAATTTCTTTAAGCAGCATAGTTTTCCCAACACCATCTGGACCATAAACGCCTACTGTGGAGATGGTGCCATCATCTATCAGCCAAGATATAACTTTCCTCTTATTATTACGTAGCATTCTATCATTTATCTTCATGTTTGTTGTTACTAGTGCTACACTAGAACTCCCATGATCATAGAACGTAAACCCTTGAGGAAAACTCCCTTGCATAGTCAAGTCTCCAATTTGTTTTATCAATCCAGCATTGCTCCGTTCTGACGTAATCAAACCTTTTACCTCGTAGCTCAAGATTTTGTAGTTGAAGCACCGCCTCTTCAACGTCTTTCAACCAGTTATCAACCTCCTTCCTTCGTCTCTTTCCTGGTTGAAGCTCCTCTTGTTTTATTTCACTGAGTACATCTTCTGCTTTCGCATGCAATGCTCTGGCTTTACGCTTCAATGTCTGCAGCTTATCATCTTGGCCATCACTAATATTCAACAAATTCTTTAAGGTTTCCATTGAAGAACCTGATAACCAAAAACAGGTACAAATGATTCTACAGGGTAAAGGAGGATAGTAACATAGTTTTATAGTACAACATACTTCCTATTTAATTATACCTTTCAAATCATTTGTCATCCTGACTTCCCAATTTCCCTAATGATAGCTGTATGATTTAATCTATCCAAAAAGAATATATACTTATAGTAAAGCATGTTTTTAATTTCCTCAAATGTGTGTTGTGGTAAATCTCAGGGTAAATATGGCAGAACTCAGTGTTCATAGGAGGGTTTAAGCATGAAGTATGTACTCCAACATCAGCAAGGTAACGCTTAGATTCTTAGATTATACATCCGAGAGCATGATGGGCTTTATGTTTTAGGTTACATGTTTTTCTCAGTATACCCACGTATAAGTGTGTGTGTGTGTGTTTTTTTTTTTTTTAAAAAAAAAAAAAAAAAAAAAAAAAATCATGTTTCCATGTTATACCTTATAATTACAGTTGTATGTAAAAAGACAAGGTAGTTGTAATGGAAAGAATATGCAATTTGCATGCTAAAATGAGGGTTCAATGAAATATGTAATTATGCTCTCGAATGTAGGATCTAAATATGCAACCTGTGACACCAAATTAAGATTCTTGCAAGTGAAAATAGACTAACAAGTAAATGCTTGAACTTTTTAAGGCCTTTCATTTCCCTTGTTTTTCTCCCTTAAACAGTTAAACTGTCTTCACTATTCTTTTTCATTACTACCTTATGTTATATAAAGAGAGTTACAGAAATTAACGATATAGACGAGATTTAAGCTTTAACATGTAACATTCCAAGACGTAATCTGTTAGCTGTTACACTCAAAACCATGTTGTATGAGATTCCAACCAACAAATAAAGTGATAACTTGGCATTTCACTACTGATTTATACATCAAGATTCATTAATAAAAACAACTAAGTAACAAATTTTTCTTTGACACAAATGAGATTCGATCTTAAGTCAGACTATACAAATTAAATTAATTTGTAGTACACAAGAAATCATATTCTATGCGATCTGTACCATACAAACATAAATTAACAAAAACATACAAATGGCAGAAATTATCCAACTGCATGAAAAGTTCAGGAAAAACAGGCATTACAGATTACAAGAAAGAATTTCAGTGAAAAAATCATACCTTTTTTCGCAGAATATGAAGATAACAAACTACAATTCTAATAAAAATGAGCACATATCACAATTTTGTTAGGGGCTTGATCATTAGCTTTAATTAATCTTTCAAAGTAATCAAGAGATTAAGGGAGTTGACTTGCTAAAGTAAACTTTTAGTCCTCTTTTTGTTTCCGAAATTTCCCTTCCATTTTTCAAGTTTGAGAAAACTGGCTGTTTTCTTCTATCTTTGACATTTCTTCGAATAGGTAGTGTGGAAATTAGCTGCCGCTGCTATTTTTACAATTACTGGATGATCAATAATAAATTAATAATCATATGTATTGTAATTAATTTTACTTGTTTGAAATTATTTTGTCTAAACTTATTTTATGTGAACTCATTTTTTCTGAAATAAGATACTGTATAAAATAAGTTAAACTGAAATGAAACAAACATACCCCTAATCTTAATAATATGTATACAGCATTTCCAATACATTAGGATTGAAAAATATTAAATTTTAACAGAAAAAGAAAAGAAAAAAGAAATTATACTCTGTAATTATTTTAAATGGACGTTAATTAAACTCCTTAAAGTTTGTTTATATACGGAGTAATAGAGATGGCCAAAATAGTACAATAGAAATATTTTGGGAAAGTCAAAGCTTCTTTTTTTTTTAGGAAAGTCAAAGCTTCTTTGTTTTGGAGGAAAGTCAAAGCTTTTTTTTTTTTTTTTTTTTTTTTTACACTACAACTAGGAGAAATAATTTTTAGAATATAGCACAAAATATAAAATCAAGCAAAAAAAAATGTATTCCTAATAAAAGGGAAAAAAGGTGACACCAAATGAATAAAAGAATCAATCATACTCCGTATTAACTTCAAGTGTTCCTTTACTGCCAATTCCTAAAACATACAACGGTCTACTTTCGAGAAATAGCCGATGCCTTGGGAAAAAATTGTCTATACACAATCGATTTAGGAAGATGGCTCATTGGCTACATAAGTGGTAACTAAAGAGGGGAAATGAAGCTCTGTTCCCTCGAGTTTGAAATGATCACAAAATTTCTGTAAGTGTAGTCTCTCACCTACGTTAGGCAGCTTTGGCCGACCCTAAAAATTGCAGGCCTCCAAAGAAGACGTCGATTCCTACCAAAAACTATGCGGCACCATGAAAGCTGGAGGTTCCCTATCCACACTGACATTAGAGGTACGAACATACCGCCTATTTCGGTTCAATTTCAACTTCACTGCAGGCACCTTGTGTGCTATGGACTTCCATATCATTTGGACAGCGTCATCATCCCTTGATGGATACCTAAACTCAAAGTAATTCTCAACTTCTTGCAGTTTCCTCCACATGCGAGTCCATTCTTCCTTGCTAATACCCCTAATAAGATTCATAAGAAACTTCTCTTTTGTGGCATCAGAAGTACGAACAAAAATGCAGAATTCCGAGTAATCAATTATGTCTTCGTAGGGAAGCTCAATTTCATCACTGATGATAACAGGGACACAGTGGCTGGCAATCGCATCAAACAGCCGGTTTGATGATGGTGTGTCACCGGCTATGTTAAGGCAGAATTTAGAGGAGTGCATTCCTTGGGTAGCATTATTGACACCACCTCGTTGGATACTTCCAAATGTAAAATGCACATCCCTTTCATCTTTCAAGAGATAAAATAACTCTTGCCTTATCACTCCACCCTGCATAAAACAATTAACCCAAATTTGAGGATCACATTGAAGTTGATAAGACATCTAAAACTAATCACGGAAAATGAAGCCATTTGGACAGTATAATTACGAGCTCAATGTTACATAGCCAAATAAAAGTTATCAAGGAAAACAACTCAAACAAGCTAATGGAAGTTGCAACAGAAGAGAAGTAGGAAAAGTACTTTTCCACAATTAACAATGAAATACAGTATGATTCACATTATTGTTTCACAAAGTAAGCCATATAATATATTAATATCTTAGACAAGTGATAAAACATAGGCCACTCAACAACAAAAAAGTAGATTGAGAATTAAGGCAATAGCTACACAAGGATGAGAGTGAGAAGAAACTAGTCCGTGGTGCACAATAGCAATCAACAGAAAGAAAAAAATTGCAACATCAAACAGGAAATCAGATGATGAAGAGAACTTACATCTTTTCTGTAAATGGCACCTTGGAAGAACAGTAAGATTGGACGGCTATCGTAAGTCGATGTATCATTGACATATGACTTGATAACATGCCGGTAAGGTGCTATGATATCTTTCTGGACATTTGCTATATTTGGAGGATACCTCCCAAAATCTGAGAGTATGTACATTGCAGGCCAAAGTTGGTTCCTTGCATATAATAAACTATTTGGATGATGAGCCATGATAATGTGATCCACACCCCCTGACCTTTTCCATTCTTCTTGAGCTTCTAAATATTGGACCAACTTATCTTGTGTAAGCTTATCTAAACTGCTTCTTTCCTGCTTTCTCAGCCTTGAAAAGCGATTATACGATAACGACGAGAAGAAGGGGACAAATATCACATCTGCTTCACTAGAATTTCGCACTCTCACAGCAACACGAGAATTGGAAGAGCCAGAATATTCCGAAAAGAGGATATCAAGTGTAAGCCAATACTCTATACTGTGTTGTAGATTCAATCCACCAGGATAGTTTGGGACTTTCGTTCGAATATCAGGCCAAACATTAGATCCTTCAGGTTTCCAATCCAAAAGTCCAAAATGAAACTCAGGTGGCAAATCATACATGAAAACCTTCAGAACTTGTTTGCTCACACCACGTTCTGCTATAAACTTTTCACAGAATACTGCAGCTCCTCCACCAGAATTAATATTATCAGACACAATGTTAGCATCTGAACTAGGCCGAAAAACAAATTGTGGCCGGCCTGTTGACCGCAATACAAAGAAGGAAGAAAGTAGGAAGAGGATGCTTGTTAGACAAAGCCAATAAAACAGGGAATTCCAACAGTAAAACCCCATTGAAGAGGAGCTCCTGTCTGCCATGGGTTCAATAATTCTCAATAAGAATCTCCAGTACTTCTCACACAACCACCATTCCAAGTTCAAAGTAATAACCTACACACATAAATTAACTCAGTCAAAACTTGGATAAAAATCCCAATAATCAGATATTTCTTCAAATTGGTATATTATAGAAATACTATGCCCTCCATCCAATAATTTCGTCCCTCTTCAATTTTAATACATTCTAATTTCTAACATATTGCCCAAATTCTAATGATAAATATAAAAATCTAACTGAGTCCACACTATACATATTGACCTTGTTTAATAACTGAGTTCGCACTATACATAATTTGTTAGTCCCACTTAGAAGAGAGCTCATGTTTAAAAACCCACAGGTACTAGTGTAGAAAGTGTACTACATTGTTACACTTTGAGCTCAATAATTATTTTTACGAAAACCGAATTTTCCATAAGCGGACAAAAATAATAGGATGACAGGACAAATGAGTAACTAACAACAACACAATGACAATAACATCATACAAGATACAACTGACTATCATCTAACAAAGTCTCAGCTGCATCAACACAAATGACAATCATATCAACAACCATACAACTCGCAAACATCGTACTTGCTAAGTTTTTGTCAATACACTATAGTAGCAAAACTAGCAATCATTCATCATTGTACCAAAAAAAAAAAAAAAAAAATGTTTCCATATCCTTGTTATTGATTTTTGATAAATAAAAAATAAAAAACGATAACGAACAACCAAATTTTCTAAATCGGACAATTCACCAACTAGTCTCGCAGCACTTATCCTTCAAACTTAACAAAAAACACAAATTATCCCATAAATTTAATACCACCATAATTGTCAAATTAAGCGAAATTGTATAGCAAAACTGAGATCAATTCATAGGTCAACTGAATCATTCAAATCAATTCTTTTTAATTTTTTTCCATGCCAAAAAGAAAATCTCAATTTCATTTTTCTGTAATTATAATGACAATTGACAAATTACCACAATTCCAAATAAAAAAAAATAAAAAAGGGGAAAGATTATACACCTGAATCCAGATAAACAATGCGGCGAAAAAACGGTGCAAATGTAGCCGGTGAAGAATGCGAACAACTGGAAGTAGCCGGTAATCACATTGGCGGCAAAAGAAGAGGGTGACCGGCAGGTAACTGGTCAAGGCTAATTTGATGAAGAAAAATTGCAGAAACCCGAAATTACAAAAATACCCCTATTAAGAAGAATTGCAGTAGCACAAAAATACTAAATACCTGAAAAAAAATCCGGCGGTGGATGCGGCGGCGCTCAGTGAATGTGGCGGTGGAAGCGCTAAAACGACGGCGTTAGAGTGCGTTTTGGAGAGCGGAATGAAGGCGAGAGGAGAGAGAAGAAAGAAGGGTAGGAGAGGAAGATTGGCGGTTCCCGGCGGAAAGTAGCGTTTTCCGGCGAAGGAAGGAGAGAGGAAGAGAGAAAGAGGTGAGCAAAAAAAAGGGGAAGGAAAACGTGAGAGTATGGTTTAGCGAAAGTGAAGCGGGAAAAAGGGATCTATTAACTAAGAGAAGAGTATGGGTTAAGAGATTAATTTGTTGAAATTATTTGCATTATTGCTTATTACAAAGGGGGATTAATTTTATTTTATTTTTTCTTTTTTTTTTACTAATTTGTTGGATCTTGTTTTGTTGATGGCTTGATGCTAATGTAACTTTTTTTTTTTTTTTTTTTTTTTTTTTGTTTTTGAATAATTGTATGGTACTATGATATAACGTGTAATCTGTACTGCTGACCAAATCGTGTGGCAGCTTGTAAATGAATAGAGTAATACCGTATAACACTAACGGAGTAACCTTTGTAATATTGACAAGGTAACCCTAATAAAACTAAAAAAAAGTAAACACTATAACACTGACAAGTAACCCCTATAGCTCTAACTCTGATCACATGGTGTAGTCAGCCACATACAAGAGATATGGTATGGTAAAAATTGGGTCAAATTTTAGTACAAAATACTCCGAAGTAAAGGTAGGTTCATTGTCGGATCTATAAAACTTTCAATTTAGGATCGGATAACATTTGAATATATCATTTAAGTAGTCAAGTTATCATGATTAAGTAATGAAGCTAATCATTTTGTGATGTATCTAGGATTTTAGGTTCATGTGATTTCAAGTACAATTCTTTTTTTTTTTTTTTTTTTTTTTTTTTTTTGAGAAGCAAGTAAGGAGTGCAAATCAATTGTAGGTCTTGTTACTCTTGTACTGGTCAATTTGGTGTGTTTTGTAACTTACAAAATAAATTTCAGGTATAATGATAGGCGATTATGGCTTATTAGGTCTAATAAAGTATAATCAGTTCATGTAAAGATAGCGTATTAAAGTCTACTTATAAAAGTTATTTAATCACTATGAACTATATATTATGTATTTCCGGGTATATTATTGTTAAAAAGAATTTTTTTTTTTTAGGTATATTCATATACTACGTACAACTGTACAGAAAAAAAAATAACATTGTGCTCTTAATATTCTATAATTAAATTACTATGATATAAACCTATTGAATTATCATACTGATTGAAGTACAACATTTTGTTATTTTGCTACTATTGGTGTAATGGTGTTAAGTAGCACGAGTGATAACAAAAATGTTATCTTGAAATAATATTTTCCATTGATGATTCCTTAATTATTGTGCACACCAAGGTAGGAATTTCCAGAAAATGTTTGTTAGAATCTTCAATGTTCTTTCCTCATCTATAATTTTTTATTAGCCTCTTGAATCAATGCATGCATTAACATGATAACGCACAACTTACGGAGTAAAATATTATGAATCATAATTATACTGTCTTCTTCACATGATGCAATGCTCAAAGTGCAAAGTGGTGATTGTAGAGTGGATACAATATTCAACCCATTTCCTTCCACATTAGTTATTTTAAATTATTGTCAAATTTCTATTAATTAACAATAAACTAATCTTATGATCTCTAATATTATTATAAACTATTTCAAAAGGAGTAGTTGTTTTGAGGGATTTAATGTCCTTGTCTTTATATGTTTTCCCTTGTTATTAGTGCACAAAGGCTTGTGATCAAGTCCATTATTATTAATTCATTTTTAATGGTGCTGCAAACTAAAAAGTCCTTACTACCTTCCCCTTTGTAAAAGGGCTAAATAGTCAAATGGGTATTTAAAAATATGATAAACCCTTTTTGCCAAATGGTTCTGAAAAATTAATTGATAGGTTTTGCTTTTTAAAAATGTAAACGATTTATGCATATTTTTTATTAAAATCTTAGTGAAGGAAAGGAAATACTATCTGAATTTGTATGAAATTTATTTTATCTGAACGCATCTAAATTAATTTTAAATTATTGTTTCGTAGAATATTCCATTTTTACAAAAATCACTTAAGTTAAATGCTAGTTTACTAATGAAGGCCTTGATACAATAAAATAAGTTATTAACAGTAATCTAATGTCTTTTTTTTTTAACACTGACAGTAATCTAATGTCATAGTACATAGAAAGTGTTAAAAGTATCAAAAATCAACGTAACAGGTAATTGATGAAAGTAATTAAAAACAGGTGAGTAAAACCTATACAGATTGGTGCACAAATTTCAAACCAATCAAATAATCACCAAGTTTCCCATTTTTTTTTAAAGCTTTGAATGTGTTATCATGCTATTGTCAAAAACAAAAAAAAAAAAGAATGTGTTATCATGTTGCATTCTTGAATTAAATGAAAATGCAGAGCATGCATGTAATAGGAGCCAAGTACTCTGCCTTACGCGCAGAAGCAGTGGCTCCAATGTCTTCATCATAAGCTTGTTTTGCATTGCCATGGCGAGGCCATAAGCGCGCTGCTAGTTGTTGTGCAACCAAGTTTCTTTTTCGAGCTCGAATATGCCTGATAATATACCATTCTCCTTCAGCAATTGTGCAGCCAAGTTTCTTTTTCGAGCTCGAATATGCCTGATAATAAAATTACCATTCTCCTTCAGCAATTGTGCAACAGCCAAAGCCAATATCAAAGTAGAAAGTTCATGATGCTGAAAAATGGTCCACTGATTTTGTACATGATCCTAAGGGATAATATTGATCATATTTTCAAAAAGGCTACAAGGAGCAAGAATATAAAAAATGAAATACCATGAACTATAAACATTAACAACACCCATTGACTCGTGATTTTGTATAATTTCCAAATGGTTATTTCCAAGTAGGATAATTGCTACATCATCACTACCACTACAAATCTCCTAAATGTGTAGCAAAAGATTACAATTTGGATCTGCAAAATGCCAGCCAAACTTGAGTTTGGCTCCTAGTTCAAAATTACACTTACCTTGTTGCAAGCATAATTTTATGTGTACTTTCGTTCTAATGTTTTTTGTAATGTGTATGTTGTATGTAAAGTGATTTTGTGAACCTCTTCAAGGGTACTAATTACCCATAAGTAATATGAAATTACAAAGTACACGTGCTTCGTTTTTGTGTTAAAAAAGTAATTTTAACAGATGACTCTCGGATAGAAATTTTATGCAAGATGTATTTCCCAGTGTATGGTATTTTATTCTTTTAATAAGAGCCAAGAAAACATCTTTTAGCAAACATACAGCATTAAATATGTACGTGATTTTTGTTCCCAAAAAAAAAAAAAAAGGCATGTACGTGATTTGAGTTATTTTTATTTGTTATAGCACTTACTATTGAAGATCAGCAACAAGGACGCTAGCTAGAGATTGTGAGCATGTAGCAGCACAAGCAAGAAATGGGTTGTTGGCACTCTTGCCTATTCCTATTGGCACCAAGAGTGGAGAGGTGGAGTTGATAGTCAATCAGGGTTTGTGACAGCCAAGTAAGTCAAGGCAAGCATAAGCGGTTTGAATTTATTAGCTCAATGTGTTTTAAACATATGGCGCCACAATATCTATAAAGGCATACAAAAATATGTGGCAACAATGGGTAGAGAGCTTGAATTTCATTAACTCAAGTTTTACTCAAGTTTTCCCTACAAAGCATTTTTTGCTAAACTTGCGGTTTAACATTTTTATTATTCTTGAACACTCTTGGGTACACTACAATTTATGTATTAAAAACCCAAGAATACAGAAAGGCATAGATAAAATCAATTGCAAAGAAAGAACAATGACCATCATAGAACCTACAACAAACACATACTAATATACTATTATTACTATGATTTATGAAACTTAGAGCTTAACTATCAGCACATGAAAAGCACTACTTTTTATACACATTAACTACTGTCGGTGATATTTGCAATTGTGATTAGGAAATCAAAAGTGGTGTGTGTTAGAACTCCCTTACATTTTATCATAACAAGTTGCAGCTTCCAAAGGACAGTGTCAAGAACATAGAGGTTCCATTCTGTAGCATTCATGTCTCTGCAGGCATGCTGTGACAGTAAAATTGCAGATGCACCCTGTAGTGATTCAGCCTGCACAAGGAGGAATATTAGTATTTAGTATATGGGTTCATAAAAAAGAATGTTCTTGGCTGTGAATTCGATTTATCTATACTGAAATCAAGATGAAAACTAGCAACGGAAACAAGAAATTGAAATTCTGAAAGACCCAATAGATTTCTGTCATTTCAGCATCAGTCCTATCAACATGATTGTTTCTTTGAACGATGCAAGATGATTGCAATGATTAACAACTAAAATTGAAGTGGTTTCATAACATTCATCGTGACAGGAAGGTCCAACAGATTCCAACCATTCAAGCGAGAAACCAATCAAATCAGAATAGCATTAGCAACAATGTTATTATTCTAAGTGCAACTAGGTGGGTCTAGTCCTGCCTAGAGAGCAAACACAGCTAGAAGTACCCGCTCTGCCCTGACGGCCTGACAAAATTGGTTACTTCAGAATCAAATCAACCAATATTGGGAAAAAAATAATGCATCGACATTTAAACAAGTAACAAGAACTTCACACAGCCATTACCTTCTGCTTAAATGGACAGCCCAGCAAAAAGCAACTCCAACTCCTCATCCTCAGATGCAGATCTCTAAGAAAAACCAATCAACAATTAATCAGTTAGAAATCAGAATCTTCCAACTTCTTTCACAAGCCCAAGTCACTGGGACTAAAAGTCTAAAGAAGGTTTAAAATAATGTACATATATATATACAGCAATCACACACCAAGCTATGACCACTTCATAATCCCAAATGATCTTAGATTAAAGATAAGATTATATTGTAATGCTATCTTCATGGTTCGTAATAAATGATAACTACATGTGCCTCCAACAAGAAAGAAATCCTCATTCACATATTAAGCAACAATAGCTAAGCATTAGAAATACAGTGAATACGACTGCTATTGACTCTGCATGACAACTCAACCCCCCTCCAGCACCCTTTTTCCAGTATTTCACCCTTTATTTCACGATCATCAAGTGCTTCTGTAAATTTTTGCACTAGTAGCTTGCTTGTCCAAAAAATAAGCATTTTTTTTTTTTGTGGGGATAATAAGCATTTTTCTTAAAGCTTCCTAATTGTGATAAAATAAAATGCTGAGGAACAACCATCCCCATACATTTTATACAACATAATGACATAATCAGCTAATTCTAGAGTTCAAGTTTGTATCAAAAGCTAGGAGTAGGTTTCCAACCACCATATTAGACTAAGCCAAAGCGAAACTCTCACATCTGCCAACAACTTTGCAATTAAAAAACATTTCTCAAATTTCAAATTTCGCAGAGTTCCAATACATAGCTCCAAACTTCAAGAACCCATCACAACAAGTTTCATTTTAGCACATGACAATCATAAAAGGTAGACAGAAGCAAAGCTAAGAGAAAATAATCATTGTATTCATCTCAACCTAATTACATACATCCTCCGTTTCACTAAAATTGCAATACTTGCCCATTTTGAATGCTTTAGAATAATTGCAACCTTTTCTTTTTTCATAACTTTTACGACTTCATATATATGCCTAATTTATAATTGCTTGGCCCACTATTTCTCTCTTCCCTTATCTCTATCTTCTTTCATATACATTTCTCACTTTTTACTTTTTGCATTCCGTCTCCACTTACTTAAATATATGTGCCACAATCAAAAGTTGCAATTCTAGTGAAACAGAGAAAGTAGTAGATTGGAACCACAAGCTAGTTATTTACCTTAACTCTGTTTGTGACAAGGGATTATAGCTTATGTGATAACAACATAAGATAAATGACCAAGCCCACCATAAAAACTAATTGAGAAAAGGCAGTCCAAGGGCCAAACAACATCATTGCTCTTCAAAAAAGGTGGGTTACAGTTACATAAAAACAAACCTCTACAGTCATGGGTTGCAGTGGAGGGTTCCAACTAAAAAAACTTCCCTGAAACCTTGCAAGGTTAAAGGTTAATCCTCATAACCTTAATATATATATTTATTTTTTGTTTTTTTTTTTCAAAAAAAAAATTTACATATAGTCACACCTTCGGCCTCTAATCTCCATCAGATGACACCTCTTTTTGGGATTTCTTTGAATTTCAGCCCTTTAAGGACACTAGGTCC